AAGGATGCTGGCCTGCGTCTGGCCCGCTGTGGCGGTGGAGATCATGCGCTCCTTGAGGCGTTGATAGGCTTCTGAAAACGCTCTGAAAATCAATGCAATTTCCCGTGTTCCACCAGAGACATCGTTGTCGGCATTGTTGGGATCCTCAATTGACAGACGGGGACTGTTATTGAAAGAAAGTTTATAGACCCTCTGTACAGGAATTCATTAGTCGGTATACACACAAACCATCATTGGGAGAGCTTACCTTATTGAAGTAGCCCGGTGGATTAAAGCGAATTCCAACGGAATCATAGTCAAAACCGTTACCGTAAAACTCGAAGAAATCCATCAGAACGCTGCCCAGGTTCGGCGTCCCATGGCCATGCGGCAGGTGCTGAAGAAGACTCGTGACGAGACAAGTGATGGAAAACCCTCCCAGGCCGCCAGTTGGGACTTCATTGAGGCCGCGAAGGAGCAAGAATTGCTTAATGACGGACACGATAACAGGCATCGCGGGATACTCAGCCTTCCACTGCTGGAAGGTTTCGTTGGCCACTAACCCGCTGTCATTGTCGAACGACAAGTCCACCCTCAGCCCAGTCAACTTGTCCACGAATTTCAGAATGGGTACTCGGGCATGAGCGATCGTCTCGATCGAGTTGGGCACCGCAATGTTCAGGTTCTTCAAGAATGCAGAGAATGCATAGATTTGGCCTTTCCGTTCACCAAAGGTCTTAATACCGTTGCGCATGAAGTTCGTGGAGAGCAGTACAAGGTCAATATCGGCAGTGGGCAGGTAGAGACCCGATGCAAAGGAGCCAAAAGGCCGAAGCTGCACCCCATAGTACCTGCTCTGGAACGCAGTCTGTAGCCTCGCCACCAAGTCCTCTCGCACGATTTGTTCATAGCGCACCGGTTTGACCCAGTGATAAAAGCTTAGAATCTCGTTGTGCAGCCTGCTTTTAGTCAGAATGATTGCTCCTTCCTTCACCATAGATTAACACGCACCTTGCGCCCACATGTAGACTGGGAGCCATGCTACTCGCCCACGGTGTTGCATTTTCCGATGAGCGGGCTCTCCACTCGTCAATGATCGAGCCATCATCATAGTATTTGCTCAACGGCTTCCCAGTCTTCTTAGAGACACCCTTGATCTCATCATCGTATGTCCTCTTTCTGTTTCCAAACGCCGAGTCCTTGCCCTCCAGCTGGCGCCTTGGTCCGGTTGGTGCACCTTCGGGCGCGTTTCCGCCGCCTTCATCTTCATCAACCAAGCCACTCAGCGAGATAAAATCTTCGTTGGTCTTCACCGCATCTTCCTGTGTGGATTGTGCCGCCGCGGTTGCAGCAATCCGGGCCTTGCGAATCAACTTGACGACGTCCACTCGCTTACCCTGAGTCTCATCCGGAGGAGGCAAGACAGTGTAGGGATCTGGGTTGGACCATTTGGGGGCAGGTGGTGGTGCTGGAGCAGCCGTCGCGGTGCCGGTATTGTTGGGATCGACCGCACGCTTTTTGCGCGGGTGGGCTGCTTCGTCCTCATCCTCTGAAGAGACGTCCATATCGGCTTCCTCGCTATCGCTGAGGTTCGCCACTGGCGCGAACTTCAAAGCCGGTTTCGAGTCCGCAGCGCCGGAGGGCAGTAGCTGTTCTGGGGTCGTCTCTCGCTTAGATCTCAAAAGCGGCCGTTCGGAGGTTCCAGGGCGCGCATAACGGAAAGTGAACTCATGTCGGGGTTGGTGTCCTGACCGTCGGTCATTTCCGCGGAACTCGAAAGCCGGCGGCATGACGGGAGATGGGAAGGAACGAGAATCAGAAAATAATCTCAAAAAATGGGAGAATGACGTGCAGCGACAACATAGGCTGGGATGCAATCAACCCACAACGACGCGCCTGGCGGATCTTTTTTTCAACGGCGGCGGCGGGATGAAAGTCTGGGGCTGCGTTGGGAAGGCGGTGAGGATAGCCCTCCATCCCACTTTTTGCTTATCTCCGCCGGGCTATCAATTGTAGTTACTACAAGTGATTTATCTAGATAAACCTGCTGTTTACGTACGGAAAGGCAAGCATAATCCAAAAGTCTCTGCATTCAAGCTCTGTCCCCAAATTCCTTCAGTCCATTTTGCAGGTGTTTGATCAACGCCTTATCTGCTGCCATCTCCGCAAAACTTACTCTCTGTGTGGCCCATTTCAACCACCTGCTGGCCCTAGCACCCTCTTCTGCTCGAAGTAGGCCAACACTCACATCTATCAGCAGTGGTCTTTCGTCGTCATGCCAGAAGAGGGATGCGCCACAGCGGCCGCAGAACTCGCGGTAGACACCTGGGGAACTCTTGTACTGTCGCATCGTGCCGGCGCCAAATGCCAGCGGCACCTTGTCCTTGTTGTAAAGATTTGATAGAGGAATAAACGCCCACGGCTGAATAGGGAAACCACTGGCTAGGCGACACGAAGGACAGGCGCAGGTACCCGCCAGATACTTAGTAATGTCATCCTGCAGCCACCACTTCACGTCTTGGGGATTGCTAGAGGACTGTGAATGATACGGCGCAAGCAGATCGGACCACGGGGAAGTCGGCTTGGTGGATGAAGAATCAGGCCGCGTGATATAGAATTCAACGCCGCCGCAATGACAACGGGCAAGTAGCTCGTCCGGATTCCGGGACGAGGGCTCGAGTCCGGCCTCGGACTGGCTTGCTTGGTTGCTGGAAACCGTGCGTAACCAACATGCTGGAGCCGGTTCTTCTGGCTGTCCAGAGAGAAAGGGTGTCAGGCCACCATCACGCGTCTCGGCAGCCCGCCAATGCCGTATAGATTTGGTTGGGGGTAGTCTCCCCGCCAGCAGTCCGGCTGCAACAAAGAATTGCCCTGTGTGTTTCGAATGGGCAAAGACATGAGCGCCACAGGTCTTACAGAAATAGCGGCTTATGCAATCAGCTTCCTGGTACTCCTGGAGGCTGTCAAGGCTCTCTGGCTTCGCCTGCAGGAGGTAGTATGTCGAGCACAGCATTCCGGTGACCGTGCGACAGGCGGTGCAATGACAGAAATTGAGTGCCGAATGGTCGGTGGACTGCTTCAGCTCGATCTCCTGTGCCACACCTCCGCACAGGCAAGAAATGGGTGTCACTTTGTCTTCCTGCATGTTTGAGGGTCGGCCAATAGCGATGGAAGTAAGTGGGTTTATTTCACAGTAGAGCAGTCAGTCCAGCTCAGCTGCAGGGTCATTTACTATTTGGGTCAGGATCATGTTAGCTGGTAGAGAAAACAAGAGTAAAAGACAATGATGTAGTTAGTAATGCATGCATGCGTCTGCCCTGCTGCATCATCCTCTTGGGCAAGCATAGAAAAGAGCTTACGACCAACCTGCAGCAACAGGAAGATTGAATACTAGTAGTATCCAGTCAGGGAGATGAATGGCGGATGGTGACTGGAGACGAGGTGCAGAAATGTGCTCAAGTTCAGACCCGCTAAGACCCTCGCAACTTAACTATAAATACCCCGCTCTCTCTTTTCTTCCCGTCTTCCCAAATCACTGCCACTCTGACCACTTTTCTTTCCAATCTCCAAGGAAAAGAAGACTTTTTGTCCTTTGACTCCAAATCTAAAAGACTTTTTCCTCGTCTTTAAAACCAGTCATAATGGGTAGGTGGTTTGCTTAGCCCTCATCAAGTACCCTTGTTTTGTCTGTTTATTAGTGCGGGGTACGGATGGATGGGACTCGAATCTCTTTGATGTTTGCTTTTACACATCACCATCCTTGTCCTGGCGAATACTCGTGCTTGAAATGACTCATCTAATATTCTGCTATTACCTGGGTATGGTATACAAGGTTGCTAATCTCGATGACCGACAGGTAACGACCACGGTTGCAGCTGCGGCGCCTCTTGCCAGTGCCCCGCCGGCCAGTGCCAGTGCCCCGTACGTTTCCACTTTCTAACTTACTACTACTTGTTGACGACCATACTGATAGTTCTTTTTCTCATCATACAGAAATAAACATCTCGCTCTGAAGGGTATAGGAATAGAATTGGAGGACGACCTGCTTGTACCTATCTGAGTCTAGATCTCATGGAGTAGTAACAGAAGATCCTACGCTGATTGTCCTGTCTTGTTCCATCATCTTACTATGATAAGCCTAGTAGATAACAAATAAACGTAGATACTACACAGTAAGAGACATGTGATGCAATACGAAGATACTAGTGGTCCTAGCATCATGCATGTAGTATGTCTGCTGACCCCCCTTCATGGCTCGGTTCTTTGAACTCTATCATATATGGTATATTAGACATGTTATAGTCTTCAAGCTAATTTAAAGCAGTTACTGAAAGAATAAGTGATCACTTGGTAGCTATACATACACAACCAAGAAACAAACTTAATAGCAACAAATGCAAATATCCATACCTGGTAGAGATCAACCTACAAAATCAGTTGGCATAATTAAGAACCCTCTTGTACCCCAGTCCCCGACTACTAATAAGATCTACACCAATACCAACAATCCCCAAGAAAGTATTTCTCAATCAATAAGTCAAGTAAATCATTGAAATAATATAATCCAAAAAATATATACGTCTGAACACTCAAGACATCACAATAATAAGTAAAATTCATAATCTCATCACCCATACCACTATGCAACCAAACCAATCTCCCCTACACCGTTGGCCCTAATTCCCCCACTCCCCTAAAGTATGAACAGTCGCATCGAAGTCGAAGAAGCGATAATAATAATAATGATAGCGAGCAAAACACCTGCACTCGACATCTGTTTTTTTCTCTGTATTATTTCAACGATGGCAAACTATGCGAGGCGGGGCGAGGCGAAGCGAAGCGAAGATAAAAAGGGACGAGGCGTTGTTGTTGTTGTTGTTGTCATAGTAGGAATGTATTGGGGTTGGTTTGTTTAGTGCTGTAGTAGGGGACTGTTGTTAGTATCATTGCACATCATACTATCCTCTCATGGTTAAGGTAGATACACACCTTGCAGTCAGCGCAAGAGCAGGAGTTGCAGCTGCCAGAGCAGCACTTGCACTCGCAGGGGGCCATGGTGATAGATAGGGTAGTAGTATGTATATATACTATGAAAGTATTTGAAGAAAAGTGAAGTATATTCCGTAATGAACAGACAGCAGTGGATGAGCGAGAATAAGAAAGAGCGAGGATGTGGGATAGAAGAGGGTCTTTATATGCTTTTCTCGAAGAGCAACAAATGCTATGCTGTACGACTGTTTGCTTTACTTTTTGCCCCTCCTCAACCCATCCTATCCATCCATCCCTGGAATAAGAATCTGCCAGGTGACGGATGGGGATAATCGGTTTTGAGTTGCAGTGGATACACGATGGGTACTACTACTTGCTGTGTCCCACAGTAGTAGTACTACTAGTAGTAGTGTACTCCATATATTGTACTGCAGGTGGAGGTGGGTTAGTGCTATAGATGAATGGGTCCAAGTTTACTTTTGCTTGCTGCAGCGAGGCGTGGGAGAGCATGGTTTGGTAAGAGTCACTTGTACTAGGGACTTTGGTTTGTATCTCCAAGTTTCTGTTTCCTCGTTTGTACTTGTACTCGTCACTATTACTACTAGTAGTAGTGTGTTGTGTGCGTGGATGATATCCATACCACCCATTCCTCTATGAATAGATGAATGCCCTATAAAGAAAGGTGAGTAGATGAAACAGGCCACTGCGTTAATTTACCAGTAACAAGCATGGAACACCCTGGTCAGTTCTATCCCCGCTTGCTCGCCGGTTTAATTTCTTCTGTCTTGATCCCGAAAGTGCCCTGGCTGGAAACCTAGTCCTGGGCATGTAGACGGATGATGTTTGGTCTACTATGGCCAAGGTTGGGGCAAATTGGGAAGGGAAGCAGATCAACGACCAATCGGTCAATAATATGGAGTGGCTCTGCAACTAAGATGTTGGGAAGCTATCATGCCACGTTGAATTCAGGAGAAGAAGGAGGAGGGTGTGGTGGAGGTGGAGTCAAAAAGGCAAAGCAAAGTGAGGCAGCAAGTCGGAGATGTAGGAAGGGTTTGCTTTGCTTTACTTTGCTTTGATGGGTGGGGGACCCGTATCGGTGAGATCATATTCCACTTCCTCTCTGACACATTTTCTACATATCTATTCTAATTGTTTGTTTGTGATAACCATAACTGCATGTAGAGGATGTAGCCAGAACTGGGACATGTCTTATGTACAACTAGTATCTATGCTGGTTGTGATAATGGTTAATGGCAACCCCTCCATCCGCAGACTAAATTCCCCCACTACTCACTGTTAGTACATGCCCTGCTGCTTCCAGGACGATCATGGTATGATTATACCTCGTATCTAAACTTCCCTACTAACTTCATCCAAAGCGATGTCTTGCTCTATTTACCTCTTTTAGCGATGGAGAATGAGTCTTTTTTCTCCCCCACCAGGTGTTTCAAAACCCTCGATCGTGGCAGGCCCCGGAAAAAGTGGAACCCTGAGTTCCCAGCACTGCTTATGAGAAGCAAAACTTAGTATGTAGGTACGTAGTATCCCCAGCCGCGAAAGGCGCGCTAATCAGAGAAAAGAAAGAATGAAATAAGAGAAAAGAAAAAGAAGGTTCGTTCGCAGTCACCACCAACTAATCAGCAGCCCCACGGGCGGGGTATACTTGGATACTATGGGTCGAGAGAAATACTACTAGAGAAGCAACACCCAAACAACCAAGCAGCATCATTACGATTATTTCATCTGCTTATCATTGCCTGGTTGGTATGGGGTTTGTCGATAGACGAGGCGAGCCAACAGAGTGAGTTGCTTGCAGCATCGTCTGATCGGTGTTGAGGGTTGTGGGGTTACTACACCAAGTTTTTACTGCGTCTACTGTATTGTTGGGATTGCAGGGTGGGAAAATCCCATCAGGTCAGACGGACCTATCTGATCCTGTCTGCTGCGTCAAAAGGGCACTACTCACTCGTCGGCTACACCAGGGATTGGGAGCCCGGGATACTGATAACCTCCAGAAGATACTCCGATGCCATCCGCTAATCAGCGGTTCTGCTAATTAGCAGCTGCCTAATCAATGCTAGGCCACTAGGTCAGTAGCTTCATGTATAGTGTCAGTACAGCAGATGCTGCGTATGCAATTCGAATAAGCAAAACCTATAAAATTGTAGCGCTCTAATATAACCCTGAACATGGTTCCATCGCCGCTCACAGCTCATCCTTGCGGTTCGGGGCAGCTGCGCCCTCATCGCCTCCGGGACACACAGCCGGCGACGTGACATGCATCGAGTACACGCACTTCTCATCTTCTGCCACCTTCAGGATAGCGTCCTCTTCGCCGCAGGTCAAGATGACCGTCGTCGAGCGGGCCGGTCCATTCCAGCAGCCTTGTCCATTGGAATACTGAAGAGTGACCCTGTCTTCAGGGACAATCTCGCCCGCCTCGTTGAGCACATCAACACTCACGGATCCAATGCCGGTGTACTTGCCCATACGTGTAGATCCACCGCCCTTCTTCGGGATCTGTTTGGTCTGGTCCAGGAAGCAGTGCTCATACGTGTACTCACCCGAGTCCTTGGAGATGCAGACGCCCTTGAGAGCACGGAAGATGGACCCGACACCATAGTCCGTCTCAAGATCGGACCTGTGATCCTTCAGCTGTTTCTGCTTGTTCTCAAGCTCCTTCTCCGCTGACTTCACGGCTTCTCGGGCTTCCGACACAACCTTGGATTCAGACGTAGAAGTCTCGGCCGCCTTGGGTAGGATTCCGTTATCTTCCAAGAGACCTCTGACGAAGAGCACCTTGCCTTCAATGAACTCAACCAGGGAAGGCGGAAGGTAGGCTGCCAGCTGGTAGACTAAATCTGATGTTAGCGCGGGAACTCGATAAACCCCCCAGTTAGAATAGATCACATACCAAGACCAGCCTCACACCCATCCTCCTCATTCTCCCACTGTTCCCAGTTGATGCCCGCCTTATCATCATCAGGCTTGGCGATTTCATCCAAATCACGGTCCTGAGCGTTGTTCACAGCCCCCTCAAGAGTGCCCTTGGCGGCGTAGTCCTCCCAGCTGCGCACAGCGCGCTTAACACCCTCGTCGTTGAAGTTGGGGTTGTATTCCACCTTGAACTTAGACAAGATCTCTTCAAGCTCCTTGACACGGGCACGGGTATCGTCACGCTCCTTGCGAACGTCCACCAGGGCGTTCCGAAGCTCCTCGACCCGGCTCTTAGCCAACCCAGCAAGCACATTGACCTTGCCCGCCGCCTTGCCCTTCACGACCTTGCTCGCCTCCTGCTTCTCCACCTCCTCCAGCTCCGCCTGAAGATCATTGACCTTCAGCTCCTGGGCCTGAATCTCCACTTCCAGACGCTTGATATTGTCCTCGACCTCCTTCTGCTGTCTACCAGCCTCCACGAGCAGATCCTTCTTCTTCCTCAAAGCCGCAGTCATGGACTTCTGTCTCTTCTCCTCCTTCTTCCGCCATTCCTTGCCGATCTCCTTGCACTTGTCTTCACACTTGGTGCCACCAGCGCGCGCCCACTCGTCACTGCCGTCGCAGCAGAGCTCGTAGTCGCAGATGCCGTCATTGACCCGCTGGAAGGGGACGTAGCCGGGCTTGTGGCCCTTGTTCTTGCAGTAGAATCCCGGCAGGGCGGATGCCAGCTCGAGATCGTCGCTGCCGGGGCGCTCACCCGGTGTTAGGGCGGAGTTGCGGGACAGGAATGCACAGGCAGATGTGCCAGGCTCATCACTGCCATCCGGGCAGTCACAGTAATCATCGTTCACAGCGGAGAAGGGGATTTGGATGGCTGGGTGGGAAATGCACGTGAAGGTGGTGGTGTCTTTGTAGAACTTGGCGACTGTCAAAGACGAAACCAATTAGCACGAGCAATGCAACAGATCATGATTGAATGACGAGGATGCAGCCTGAGGTATAATGGGTGTGCGTGGCACCTCAGCATATCTATATAGATGGCACTTACATTCGGGACTAACACCCCGGGGACGAGAGGAGGCATCACCCGCCGCAGCCACGACGGTCGAGCAAGCAGCAATGCTCACCAAGAAGAGCGATCCCTGAGGAAGTATCATGGCGGCAGTGGCAGCATTGAGCTCCCTGACCAATGCTCTGTAGGGGCACTAGAGGACAAAGTAGCGAGAACAAGACAAAAAGCAATCAATCAATAAATCAATCAATCCATCACCAGGAATGCGGAGAGAGCTTCTGGCCAGCTGGTGATAATCTCCCGCCCATTCTGGGGCTCGCTGACTCAGCTCCTTATCGGGCCTGCCGCTGTTTCTGTAAATGAGTGGCGAGCCCGCAACAAGTCGTCGCATTGATTTCTCATTCACAACTACTTACCATAGCACATATCAGCGGCAACATGGGTAATGATGGTGGCAGGTATGCTCATGAAACCTCTTACACACCCTCCCAGTCTATCAAAATCCTTATCACTAACCAACTGCACCACCAGTATCCCAACCCGTCGCGAGCTCGTCCGCGAAGCGGCCCGCAACCCCAGCACAGCGCAAGTAAAAGAAGCGCAGCGCGAACAACAAGAACACTCCTGGACGACGTGTCCGATATCGCACAACCAATTAATGCGACCCATTGTCTCCGACTGCGTCGGGAACCTCTACAATAAAGACGCCATTCTCAGATTCCTTCTCCCCGGCGACGAAACCGACGGCATCAGCTCCAAGGCCGATTGCGAAGAGATCCTCTGCGGACGGGTAAAGGGACTCCGGGATGTCGTGGAGCTGAAGTTCGAAGTCGACACAGAGCGCGAAGCCCATCCCGCCTCTGGAAAGCAGGACAGGCGTGAGGGGTGGATCTGTCCCGTCACGGCGAAGCAGTTGGGTCCGAATGTCAAGTCGGTTTATTTGGTGCCGTGCGGTCATGTTTTCTCGGAGGAGGCGATTCGCCAACTCAAGGGGGATAAGTGTCTGCAGGTATGTTATCTCATCCTATACTTTGCTTTTTGGTGTTGGTATTAATGACCTCCAGTGCGACGAGCCATACACCGCCGACAATGTGATCCCCATCCTCCCGACCAAGGAGACCGATAAGCAGCAGCTCATTGAGCGTGGACACAAGCTCGCCGAGCAAGGTCTCACGCACTCGCTGAAGAAAGCCCCCGGCTCAAAGAAGCGCAAGAAGAACGCCGCGAATGGTGATGCGACGGATGCGGGCAAGGAATCAAAGCCCGCAGAGAAATCTTCAAGTGCCACTGCCAGTCGGAGCAACACATCTACACCCACGCCAGGCGGCTCGAGTGGTATCAAGAATGCCGCTACTGCGTTGCTGACGCAGCGGGTGCTGGAGGAGGAAAACGAGAAGAAAAAGCGGCGGAAGATGCTGGGGACCAGTGACAACATCAGCAGTCTCTTCACGAAGGAGTCGAAGGATGCCCATGCCAAGAATACGGACTTTATGACGAGAGGATTTAGTCTTCCTGCGGCAGCTAGGAAGTAGTTGTTGGAGGTGGTTGTGCTCTTGCATTTTCTATACAAATATCTGGGTGTTATTTCATCGGGCGTATGGGGGTGCAGGTCCGGCTACGGAACCGGTCTTTTCTATTTCACTATATCATATTACGCTTGAGATACACTAAAATGCTAGCCATTTATGATAGATCTCGCTGCGATCTATATCAGTGTCAAATGAACAAAAAAAGACGTCAATTCCTATTGTACAGCAAAATTTCGTACTAGATATAACATGCTACAAGAACTAGAGATAGATAATCTTTGAGCCAGCCAGCCAACCAAACAAACCTGCAAGATATGTATGCCATGCAATCAGTCTATGCAAGGAGTCCTCTGGAACGAAGCTCGGCTTCAATGATCTTCCTCCGGCCCATCTCGTCATCGCGGTGCAAACGGGTCTGTCTCTTCGAGAAGACCTTGATGTTGGGCAGGGAGTGGAGCCGGTCGTTGTTCTCTAGGATTTCAGCCAGCTTCTTGGGCTTGGGGTTCAATTGGCCCTGGACGTAGTCGATGGCCTGTTTGACGGTGGTGATCTGGTGGACGATGTTGTCGGGGAAGAAGTGGCCGCTCAGCTGGGAGAATCTCTTGAGGAACTGTTCAACAAAGAAAAGTCAGCAACTGTCTGCATAGCAAATCAATCCAAGTTAAATAGTAACGGGGGAAACTAACAGCAAACTTCGTCTCCTGATCCTCCAAAGACAAAGTCAAGAATCCCTTATCACGAGCATCCTGGTATCCGAAGAAAGGAACCTTAGAGGTCTCCTCTTCCTCACCCTCCCAAGCCGCCTCCTCGAACTCCTCGACCTCGGCGGTTTCCTCAGCAGCCTGCTGCTGCTCCACAGCCTCGGGCTGACTACCACCGATCTGCTCGAAGATGTAAACGAGGGCCTCCTTACCCTGCTTGTTGTGGTACTCCAGCGCGCTGCCCCAGCTGCCAGCCTCATTAGGCACGATCTTAGTCTTCCAGATCATCTTGAAGACGGCCTTGTCATGTTCGGTGACGTTGCAGACGCTCGTCAACGGCTTGTTCAGCGCATGCATCAGACAGATCTCAACAGCGGCCTGATGCGCAGCAAGAGACAGGGGACCCTGTTTGCGGAGTTTCTTCTTGAGACCGAACCTATCCATGAAGCAAACAAACCAATTAGCCAAAACAATTCCGCACCTCCATTACCACGATCACAAGGAGAAGAACAACTTACGTCCCAACCCGATCAGCCTCAGCCCGGGGAACATTCTTCCAACCTCCCAAATGGCCCACACGCTCCAATCCCTCCCACGTCGTCGCAGGCTCATAGTCAACCCCAGGCTCCAACTGATCAATAGCCTCAGCCTCAGGTGCCGCCTCCGCCGCATTCACCACCTCCGTCTCGCCCTCCGGCTGAGCCTTCGCCTTTCCGAACCTCTTCTCAAGCAAACTCTCTCCATACGGATCCTTCAATCCCGGCGGGTTATCCGTACCCCAAAGTCTGCGTCTCACTCGCTCACTCAGCGGTGTGTTGGAAGCATGGCGAAGGAATTGCCGGGCGACAATTGGACGCGGCCGCGCCTCGTTTCTGCATACTGAGCAGACGTACAGGGTCCGCGAGGCGCCCTGGACGTCGAGGCTCAGCAATCGCACGGACGGTCGCATGGTGCTGTGCAATTGGGGTGGGTTGCGGGTTTTGCTGGCGGGTGCCCGGACGGAGGTGATGGGGGATCGAAAAGTTTCGCGGTGGTGAGGTTCCGGCCGGGGAGGTCACGTGAGAGGAGCGTGCTTGGGATGGATGGGGCTTGGCGGTCGGGAGTTATTTGGTAGTATACTTTTACACGGGACTAGAGGGATGGATATTTTCAAGTCGTACAGAGTACTGTTGAGGAGGAAGGGGGGCTTCTCGGGTCTACTTTGTTCCTGCACCTATATCCCTTGAGCATGTCTGTCATCGCTTCGTAAGTTGCAGATCTAGTATGCTAATTTGCATCGATGAATCTATAACCCCTTCCAACATCGTTGGATCAGTTATCATCAATACTAGCAATAGTATGTTTAGGCTATGCAGATAGTTTGATGAATATCGCTCTGGAGATATAGATCTTCATACAGGGTATAAATAGTATTTGTGCGTGTATGTATTTACATGCGTCTCTACGCTGATATCATAATAACTAAAGTCGCTATAACCTGTACAAGAAGGAAACGCCCCATAATTTTGTTTCTGCTTTTTGTTATGCTCATCCTTTACTCCCGGACGAACATACCAGCCATGCCCATACCAGTGCCAATGCACATGCTCACAACACCGACTTCCTGGCCGGTGCGCTCCATCTCAGGAAGCAGAGTGGCAAGCTGTCTGGCACCGGTGGCACCAAGAGGGTGACCGATAGCGATGGCACCACCCTTGGGGTTGACCTTGGCCTCATCAATACCCAGCTTGCGGATAGAGTACAGGGCCTGGGAGGCGAAAGCCTCGTTGATTTCCCAGACGTTAACGTCCGAGACGGTCATGTCAAGCTGCTGGAGGAGCTTGGGGATAGCAACCGCGGGACCGACACCCATCTCGTCGGGAGCACAGCCCGCAACGGCAGTACCAACCCAGCGGCCCTGGATCTGAGAGGTCAGGCCGAGCTCGGTGGCGGTCGAACGGCGCATGAGCAGAGCGGCAGCGGCACCGTCGCTGACCTGGGAGCTGTTTCCAGCGGTACTAGCACCGGTGGGAGAGAAAGCCGGCTTGAGGCTAGCCATCTTCTCAACCGAGATGTTGGGGCGGATACCGTCGTCCTTGGTCACGGTGATCTCCTTGGGAGGAGCATCGGGGTTCTCGGGGTCATAGGAGAGGGTCTTGACGGGGATGATTTCCTTGTCGAACAGACCGGCGTTCTGGGCGGCAGTAGCCTTCTTGTGGGACTCGGCAGCGAACGCGTCCTGGTCAGCACGGGAGATGCCGTAGCGCGAAGCGACGTTCTCGGAAGTGATACCCATGGGCATGATGCAGTCGCGGGAGTCCTGGGAGTGAGACTCCTTCAGCTCGGGCCAGAGAACGGTGGGGATGGCGCGGGAGCCATAGTTTCTGGTCATGGACTCCATTCCACCACCGACACCGACGTTAATCGCTCCAGAGCGGATTCCGTTTCCAATTGTGGAGATAGCAGCCAGACCGGAGGAGCACTGTCTGTTGATCGTGTGGAAAGGCACGCTGTGGGGGAAGCCGGCGTGGATCTGGGCCATACGGCCAGCCTTCGCACCACCGAGTTCCTGGAGGACGGAGCCGATGGCGACATCGTCAATGAGAGCAGGGTCAAGGTTCGGGTTCGCCTCCAAAGTGGCCCGGAGGACGTGAGCGAGCAGCTCTTCGGGATAGGCGTCCTTGAAACCGCCCTTCTTCGCACGGGTAACCGGGGTACGGAGGGAAGAAAGAATGACAATGTCCGAGGGAGACTTCTGGAGGACCTGGCGCAGGCCTCGGGGAATGGGAGAGGCCATGATGACGGATATTCGACTGCTGAATCAAGCAAGAGACACAGGGAGGAATGGAAGGAGAGGATCTCGACTTTCGCTTCGCCCCGGTTGAAAACCGGGGCCCGGCAACATACTTATATCAAAATATAGCCACCCGAAGGGATTCCGGGGCTCGGGATGGCTCGCGTACGGACTGAGCCAGTTGCACGCTGGCTTCGAACTACCGGCAATGAAGATCGGCTAAGCGCACTGCCGCGGAGGACTCTGGACGAAGGCAAAATTGGGAAATTGTGGGGTCGTCGGCAGTCCCGGTCTGGGGGTCTCCCCGTCTTCTGCTTGAGATTCTGATTGGGGATGTGTGTCCGGAGAACAATCTTACAATGTCAACCTTCGAAGATCACTACATCCTGTCGACTATCAAATAATCTCCAGTTTCCAATATAAGTGTAGCTCTCTCTCTCTCTCTATCTCTGTCGGATTGACGTCCGACAAAGACATCCGGTGCCAGTCACCTGCTCTTCCGCCATCGGATGCGGACGCTTATGTCAGCCAGATCGGAAGGGCAGCTCGGAAAACACCATCAACTAATGAACTAGTCACTAGTTGACAGCAGGCCCTGATTCATAGCCCGAACTCTATAATTGAGGGAGATATTCGCCGTCAAATGCTCCCCAAGGCTGAGAAAAGACAACAATATGCATTATGGAAGCATAAGCTTTGATTCTTCCGAATACATTCGAACCAGTTCTCCGTCCCAACTGGTCGCATCTACAATGCAAGTCATGCCAATAAAGCCCCACAATCCCGAAAACCGTTGGTATCATAGTAAAAACAGCACAGCCGCCTTTCCCTGTGCATACCTTCCATAGCGCCTGGTATCATGAACTCGTCAAGTGATAAAAGTCAAGCAGAACCAATAAAGAAAACAGCAAAGGAACAGAAAGGGATAAGTGTGTCAGTGACGGATGATGTGACTGTAATGACCTGGGACCCTGCGCCGACATTTGTCGCAATCCGCTCGGTAGCCCATGGAAATCGCTGCCTTCTTCTTCGAGGAAGAGGGAATATGTTGCTCTCGTTTCAAGCTGCCCATCGAACCCGCCGGCTGTAACACATCTGGCGTAGTTTCTGAATACCATGGTGGCGGAGACGCTGGCTGGGACATGTATGTCATATCAGCGTCGCTCACAGAGTCTTTGCTGCTGATCGCCATGGCGTCGCCATTGTCACTGACCGGACTGGGGAGGCGTTGGCCGCACCACCAGACCCTGTCATGGCTCGCGTACGGACCTCTAGAGACGCCCTGCGACGTATATGATGTAGAGTTTTGCACCATGTCTCTTACGACGGGACTTCTTGGGGCAGGTGTGTTCCCTTCCGTAGAGTGTGTAGTCGGCTCTTCGCTTATAACCAACGACTGGTCAACAAGACTATGTGGGATCGGCGACGGCTGGAGACTGTAATTGCTATATCCAGCGACAGATCCCGGGTTGGAATGTTCAACATTATTGGTCCAACATTGGGCGTCTTTTCCGTTATCAATATCCATGCTTGCACTCATTATAGGAATACACCCTTGTTCTGATGGTAATGGCTGATCCCGAGGTTGTGTCGAACCATGATGGGCAAATTTGTCAGCACCCTTATCCTCCTTGTCATCATCCGAGGATTCCACTGGAGTCAGAGTCGAGAAACCGAAGCCAGATGCAAGCCGGTTGCTTTGTGGGAGGGAAGAAAACTGGAGGGCACTTGGGAACGCGCGGAGAGGAAGAGACCTGTGTTTCTGTTGACTACCATTAGTCGCGGGACGAGAATAGCAGGGGTCCTTCAGTCTCAAATTCACGGACCTTTGTCTCGCGGAACACATTTCCATCGAAGTCCTCTTGGTCCTGGTCTCTCTGGCGCTTGGTGGAAAATGCGTACATGGCGCTTTAGGCGCCAGGCCGTACAAAGAGGGCAGTGGAGACCAAAATGTGGAGTTGGTTAAACAGAGTATTGCGGTGAGTGTGATTCGAGCCAGGGTCAAGGTCACATTGAGTCTGATGAATCTACTCCGTAGGAATGTGGAAAGCAATACGCGTATGAGAATAGGGGCTCCAATGAGGAAGCAAGTGATATAGAAAAGGAGGCTAGTAATTAATAAGATGACAGGCCATGGCTATGCAGCACGCTGAATAACTGGTCCAAAGCATGCATGGAGTCACACTAGTAAGTAGTTGAAGAATCAAAGAAACCGGAGCTGGAACGTGGATGGATCATCGCAGCAAAGACCGGGACTTATCGCTCAATGTCCAGCCGGGGTTTAGCGCCGTACGGTTAGTACCGTCACATGTTACGGATTCAGTCCGATTACTACTGGTTAATACCGCCGCGGATGTATCAGGTACCTTGAGAGTACATTCTTTCTAGTTACGACTTTCTCTCGTCGGTGATAGAGAAGACAATTACTCGTAGAGTACCAAGTATGTATTTGTTGACATTTTCACATATGTATTATCCTATTACAAATAGTAAATACACCAGTCCAATAGCTTTTTCAGAAGCCTTCTTGTGCAATCATTGGCTAATAAAGCAAGACGATTCTAAACTCCGTAGGCTTAGTAGTCCGTCGCCAGCTTACTCTCGGACAAACAATGGTGTTTTACTTTGCGAACAGATGTATATCCACCGAAGGCATTCGTTTTTCCAGCCATCGGACAGTCATCAAATTGAAAATTCATACTTTGTACTTTGTACAAAGTAGCAGCCATGTGCATGACGTCACGGAAATTTAGGCTTCAACCTTCGACCTTCAGAATAATCCTCCATGTGGACTCAGTCTCTCTGCTTTTGGTAGCTCAGTTCCTAATATATGCAATCAAATCCGTGCCATTCAAATGTCACCTGCAAAAAGTGGGTTCGCCCTCGTGACTCCGGCTTCGAAAGGACTAGGATTCGCCTTTGCGCGACAGCTGCTGTCCAACACGGGCCTCCCCGTTATTGCGACTGCGCGGAGAGACACCGGACAACTCCGTAAAATCTTACTGGAGCAAGTCAATGATGAGACTGGAAAGGCGGAGGAGAGGCTAAGAGTCTTTGAAGTTGACGTGACTGGTACTGAGTACATCATCCCCTCATGCGTTCTGGTCCTGAACAATGTCTTAGATGAGGCAACCATACACGCCATGGCTGCACAGATACGAGAAGAATTTCCACAGACTCCCCTGCGTATTGCAATCACCGTACCTGGCGTTCTGCATGTGGAGAAGTCGCCGACGCAGATTGACGCTGCCAATGCTCTGCACAGCTTCCAAGTCAATGCTCTTGGTCCTATGCTTCTGATGAAGCACTTGGCACCCTTCTTGCCGACGAAGTCGTCTGCAACCTTTGCGGACGAATCTTTGTCGGCACATGTACAGCGGCCGTGGAAACTTCCATCGCATGCGATCTACGCGATGATGGCCGCACGAGTTGGGTCCATATCGGATAATGCAACAGGGGGCTGGTATTCATACCGTGCTAGCAAAGCCTCCGTCTTTCAGCTGACCAAGACTTTCGATCTGTATTTGCGGTCACGGAGCAGAGACCGAGCTTTTGCGGTGGCGTTGCATCCCGGGACAGTCCAGACTGATTTCACGAAAGATTACTGGGACGGCAGGCACATGTTGCAGCCAGAAGAATCTGCGGTGAAGCTATTACAGCATCTATGTGGTATGCAGACCGGTGACTCCGATGGGCGGGGCCGCTGTTGGGATTGGAAGGGAGAGGAGGTTTTGCCTTGAAAGATGTGAATGATAAAATAGAAAATGCATGCCTTGTGTCTTTGTGCGCCATGTATGGGACCGATTTCCTTGACACACTTGTGATTTCCTTTATTTCTCTTTTTAATCTCGTATGTGGAGTTGCGGTCAGTCAAGGTGTGGAGCGAGATTTATGAGCGTCGGTTGAGATGAACAGCACAATGCTTGAGAGTGGTAAGTGCTGGGACCATACCAGATACAGGTTTCAATACGAGCATCTTAGCTGATTTTCCGTAGCAGCAGTTTTGGACACAGTGGGCCACGGAAAGCACCTTAATTATCTTAGTGTGTATTCTGGTTTTTAAGGCACTGACAGCAGGCTGCATGCAGGGAAACCCAGTAAGGGCAATTCTGTGGGGATGAAGGGGCTGGGGGTCGGCCGTGATGGGGAAGCGTTCTTCCCTCGACTCGGTGAGTGGGCGGCAAAGCGATTACACGCGAGCCGGTCTAAAACGCTATTCCGGCTCAGGATGCCTCAACACCCCCCCCAACACGAATTTTCGACCGGCTACCAACACTTCTTGGTCATTCTGAGTTCTTAAAATCTAGCTGAAGCATCCCTGAAGACCCACAGGATCTGTCTGACTCGCCGTTTTCCTTTGCAAGCTCGACCATAGGTCCAGTCAGAGTCCACTGAGATCGGAGCCCTTCCCCTCAAGCCGTGGTAATGGTTCTCCAGTGGAGGGATTCAGAATGCAAATTGATTAGATCGAGTAGATCTACGGTCTAACGGTCAATTCCCCAGGTCCACACGGGAACTGCCGCCCAGGGCCACTCTGTTTTACGTCTAGCTCAACATGGGGTACATACAGGGGCTTGTTACCATACAAGGTGGGCGAGTTACTGGCCTCCCAACTTCCCCTTCGTGGGGATACTCGCACCAAGTTTGCCCCATGGGGTCGTCAAGCCTAACACTATACTCAGCTAGGAGCCGGGCAGTCTCGCAGGAATGGTGCTTGTTGAAAGTTAATTGAGCGACATACAGCATGTCCCATCCTAGTACTGTGTGACTGGGCGTATCCAATTAAAGCAAATAACATGCGAGGCTCAGCCGAAGACAGAATAAGCCGCATGCATGGCTATGCGCATTGCTTACTCGTTGCTTGGCTGACAGTGATCGAACTGCCCAGCAGTTTCGACAAAGGCCCGCTGATGTGGAGGTCCTTACCCCGTACGAAGCGGGCTCACTCGATAGGCAGTGTTACTATGGAGTACATATGACCCTGCATGCATAGCCGTCCATCCCATACCCCCCCTAAGGTGGTTCAATTCTCCGGACGGAGTACGCAACAAGACGATTTGAGAGATACGAAGCTTATCACACAGGCCTCGTACTCGTGGACCACAATCGTTTATCGGATGATCTCATGCATCAGGAAGACTAAACTATCCAGATTATGTGATCAAATGCAGGCGAAAATCTAGAATCCCGACACGAAGCTACGCTACAATGGCTCACTTCAATCGCTCTCTCTTTCGGCTGCAACATCTCAAGCATTGGTTGTCTAAGCCCTTGAATCACAGGCTGATTGACGTAAGCTATCTGGGACAGGGCCTTGGAACAATGGCATCCAGCGGTTTAAGAATCCACGTTGAAAACCGGAAATCGGAGTAATCCGAATCATGATGTGCTCTAGATAGCATTAAGTCATGGAGTGACCGATCTGGAACGGTAGGCTATCGTTTTCGATAAGATGTTGGGGGTTGAATTGACACAACCTAAAGCGGGAACCTTATTCGTACCATGAATGCCCTCTTTGAGGTGGATAATTGTGCGAGAAGGGGGGATAAGCTGAGTGTGATCAAATCATGCAGTATCACACACCACGGAGCCTTGATGCATTGATCACATCAGACTCGAGGGCAGTGGTTCTGGGCCATGATGGGAGGGGAAGGAGACCCGTGGATGTATCAAGAATGGGTGGTGGGGGGAGGGAGGACTATTGAACTCTAGAAGCGGGTCAATTGAAGCAGTGTCTACCTCAAGTGGTGATGGAGGGAGGGAAGATAGAGTCGCAGGAGAAGAGTTGATAGAAAGAGAGAGATGGGACGATGGATGGTGACATACATGGGACAGACAATACGGTACTGATACCGCCACCGGTAGGTTGCAGCCAACCAACCTTAAGTTTTGCAAGTGTGTGAATCATCGGCTGGTCCGCGCTCCCGCGGCCCACACTTTCTGTCTCTTCATGCCATTTCCATCTTCTCTCATTTGCTCCATTTCCCTGCTCTTTTTTTTCTTTTCTCGCTTGTGCCTTGCTCGCCTTCTCTTTGACCCCCGACTTCGCTTCGGTTGTCTTCTCCCCATTGACTCATCTCCATTGCACACTTCCTGGCCCTTCTAGACCCCTTATAAAGGCTGTATTGTTGTCCTTTTCCATCACTCTTCCTCTTTCTTCCTTTCCCCTCATACAGAATAATCCCTTCCACACAGCCAATTCCCCCCCACCATGCCTTTGATCAGCACCACAGAAGTCAATGAGGACACTCGCGGTTAGTAAACAAACCTCATTTTGAGTGCCAATGAGCCTGTACTGATTTGTCAATCCATTTAGTCCTGGGATATGATCCCCTCCTTCCCCCTCAGTACCTCCAGAATGAGATCCCTGGTGTGAGTCACATCGTCCCCCCTTGCTTTTTCCCTACCAATTTTTCCAAGTCTTTCCTGTCATGTTGGTTGGGTTCTTATCCCGACCACATTCTGAGTTATTTTTATCGTCAATGCCTCTGTTCAGACCATTGGGGCTAACAGAAGACATGATTAGAAAAAGGAATCCCTCGAGGCCGTCCGCTCTGGCCGTAACCAGGCCATGAAGATTATCGAGAAGAAGGATGACCGTCTGCTGGTTGTTGTCGGCCCCTGCTCGATTCACGACCCTGCCACGGCCCTCGAATATGCCGGCCGTCTGAAGGAGCTCTCCGAGAAGCTTTCCTCCGACCTTTGTGTCATCATGCGTGCCTACCTTGAGAAGCCCCGCACCACGGTGGGGTGGAAGGGTCTGATCAACGACCCCGACATTGATGAGTCCTACAACATCAACAAGGGTCTCCGTGTCTCACGTCAGCTCTACTCTGATCTTACCAGCATGGGCATGCCCATTGCCAGTGAGATGCTGGATACCATCTCCCCTCAGTACCTGGCCGATCTGATCTCTCTCGGTGCTATTGGCGCCCGCACCACCGAGTCGCAATTGCACCGTGAGCTCGCCTCCGGTCTCAGTTTCCCCATTGGCTTCAAGAACGGTACCGACGGCAACCTCACCGTTGCCATTGATGCCATTGGTGCCGCTGCTCACCCCCACCGCTTCCTGGGTGTCACCAAGCAGGGTCTGGCTGCTATCACCAAGACCGCTGGTAACGAGCACGGCTTCGTCATCCTCCGTGGAGGCAACAAGGGCACCAACTACGACCGTGAGAGCATCAAGGCCGCCCGCGAGGCTCTGGCGGGCAAGAAGCAGTCCGAGGTCGTCATGGTCGACTGCTCCCACGGCAACTCCAACAAGAACCACCGCAACCAGCCTCTGGTCGCCAAGGAGGTCTCTGACCAGCTCCGTGAGGGCCAGGATGCCATCATCGGTGTTATGATTGAGTCCAACATCAACGAGGGTAACCAGAAGGTTCCCCCCGAGGGTCCCTCCGGCTTGCGCAAGGGTGTCAGCATCACTGACGCCTGCATTGACTGGGAGACCACCGTCCAGGTCCTGGAGGACCTCGCTGATGGTGTTCGTGCCAGACGCGCCGCCAAAGCCGCTCAGGCCAAGACCACTAATGGCACCCACTGAGCGATTGAGGATGGATGATCTGCGTTTACGAAACCCCCAGCGAGTGTGATTCCCTTTTCCTTTTGTTCCGAATAATCCGATCTAGATACCATAGCCAGGGTGCTTTATTTTACCTCATTTTGGTTTCATTATCTGACTTTGCGGGCACGAGTTCCTGAGTTATGGGTGTGTTGGACAGACAGCCTCTGCCTGTTGCGGGCAGCGTTTTCGGTCTTTGTTCCAGTAAAAGTCTTGACTGCTTCTTTTTACACTTTTTGTAATTTCTCTTTGCCTGTCCCTGTTCACTTAGGTTCTGTCCACGGTAGACAGTGATGAATCAATAATAGAACGATGAGTATGACAAGATCTGATTGCCCATGTAGATTCAACTTTGCTCGATTGACCGAACGAACCCTCTTGATTAAGTGAATCTTGAGCCATTGACAGCACTATTCTAACCAAGAGACGAGAGAGATACCAGAGATAGAGAATAGTAGATATGTATATGTACACAAGAGTAAAGACAAGAACTCTAACCCAGTAATACACAGGTTGAGGAAAGCAAACAACAGCAAGATAAGAATACAGCTAGAAAGAAAAGAAAAAAAGATGAGACAAAAATAAAATATAACCCGCATAGACGCCGCAACCCCAGATTATGGAAAAACAGGGAGAAGATGCCATGCAAACCAGAAAAGCAGCATAAGTAAATGTGATAGGCGTCATCTCTGAGACATTCCTTGTTTTCCATCCTCACTCACGTACACACACCCACCACCTCCCTCCGCTCTATATGTCATACATCCATTTCCATATACCAAAGGTTTCTTGATTCTTGGACTCCTTACCGTCCAGTGAACCAACTCTTCCAGCTTCGCGTCGACTGCTTCGCAGCATCTTCGGCGCTCTCAGCCAACGCATCCAGCTGGCCCTTGGGAACAGCAGGAGCAGCAGACTTGGCCGCATCCTCCGCAGCCTTAGCGTTCAGCGCCTCCAGCACTGCGGACTTGTTGCCGCCCTCCAGGACACTATCGGGGATAGAGCTGCTGCTATCAGCAGCGGCCTTCTCATCCTGCTTCAAACCACCAAAGATGAAGTTCTTGACCTGATTCCAGGGCCGCTGCGCCTTAGCCTCCTCCTTCTTCTGCTGGAAGATCTCCCCGATCTTCTCATTCTTCAGCAGCTCCAATTGCTCTGTGTTGGCCGTACCGGCAGCATACGCCGTCTTCGCATCCTGCAGTCTCTGCATTTCCTTCTCCACCCACAGAGCCCGCTGCCGACGGTTGTATAGCGTTAGAGAGATGACGGAGTAGACTGTTAGAGCTCCGCAGACACCTGTTTTTTTTCATTCCCGAAACGCGTCAGTCAATGATTCTATAACCCTCGCGGCGGCTCAACACATATGTGTAGTCCATTTGTAACATCGTAGATGATAGAACATACCGGATGCAGCAATCAGCGTGTACACCATCGTCTTATGCGCCTTGTTCGCAAATCGACGTCCTACTTCAATCATTTGATCCACCCGCGACGTCGACTGAGCTAACCGGGCCGCGCGGGCCTGGGCCCTCAACCGCTCGACCTTTTCCTTGGGAGACTCCGGTCTGCCATTGGCGTTTAACTGCGGCTGTTGCTGTTGCTGGGAGGTGGGCTTTGCCATCGAGCTAGGGAGCTTGTAGGGGGCCGCCGCGCTGGCCGAACCGGGCTTGGAGTGCGCGTAGGGCCCGGTGGCCGTGAATCGGGTCGCGTCTGCAGCGGAGCGGGACATTTTTGAATTAAGTCGGCGAGGATGGATTGTCAGTGAGGATGCTCGAGGGTGGTAGTAGTAGTTGTTGGTGGTGATATGGTATGATGTGACCGGGATGGAATCAGTCGGAACGGTACATTCGGCGGTGGGCGGGGTGGGTGGGAGAGACGAAGGGTTGCGCACGCCAAGGGAATCAGTCGGGGTTAATTGGATAGGACGACGGAGGGTCAAAATCCAAAAGGCACGAGATTGGGATTGTTCGAGCTGGGGAGGGGAGAGCAGCTGAAGCCAACGGGGGTCAGGCGGAGTTTGGAGGAGGAGGAATTGGGAATGATTGCCGGCCGGGGAAATTTTCAGCGGAAAGAAATCCAACCTCGTCGATTCGAGGCCGAGCCGGACACTAACTTACTACAACTCCGCTTCCGATTTACTCCATAGTTTATCATCTAGACAGCTATTTGCCTTTACACCAACTCTAGTTAGCTTCATGGTCGAGCTACAGCAATCATTAATTTCATCACATCTCCTATGATTATCGCACTATGGACTACAACGCAGCAGACTTGAGCTCCGTCCTCAGAACTCTCTCCGCCTTATCCAACCAGCAACTACCACAACCTCAATCACAATCACAAGCTCAATCACAACAACTACAATTACAACGACAATCACACCCTCCCTACTCTCACAACCCAGACCCCTCAACATCAACAGCGCCAACAGAAGACAATGATCCCTACGAACCCAGCGAATCCCTCCCCCAGCTCCCTATCCCCCCGAAACCCACATCCTCACGACCCCAACATCACCAAACACAACCACAACCACGACCAGCACCAACAGGACCCATCACCGAAGACACCTCCACCATAACCACCTGGCCAACGGCCCTCCGCTACGTAATGCGCACAGTAGCCCAAAACGAAGAAATCCAGCGCCGTCTCCGCTGGCTAATCCAACGCCAACACGACCATGAGAAACAATGGTGGCAGGGACGCGAAGCGCTCTTGAAGAAACAATCTGCCCGGGCGGAGAAAAAGAAGGAGTTGGATGCTGTGCTGTGAGTCACTCTATTCCTATTTATCCCCAATCATCAATCTACAAAGAAACAACAATGAGAAAGAAGTCAGGCAAAGAGATGAGTTAATCATTAATGGAATTGTGATGATTAGACGATCTGTCGGCGCTCCTGTTGACGAGAATAAGCAAGTTTCTGTATGTATTTCCTTGCATGCAGGTCATATGCGGATCTGGACACAGATGAAGGAGAAGCACAAGGAAGATCATCCACCATAGTGCTGGTGGTTATCCTTATCACAAGAAACCTACACAGCTAATACTTGATGATGAATGAACCAGACAGCCGAAGAAGACCGCGCCGAACTAACCAACTACGACGCAAAAGTATACAAAGCCTCGAGACAAATGTCCGATGCTATGATAGCAGAGCTCAAGGCACTCAGGATTCCCTTTTTCACTATTAAGAAGGGTCTTGTTTCGGAGTCGGACCCATCAAATATGGGAAGAACAAAAACTACTGCCCCGACTGTCAAGCAGCAGCAGGGGCAGCAGCAGCAGCAGCAGCAGCAGCTTTCCCGAGAGGAATTGTCGGCGCTTCAGCTGAGAATGTTGGAGTTGTTGCAGGATCTTTGTCGGGAGTGATTTGTCTTAATATGATGATAGGACTGATGCTTGAAAAGGTAACAAGTTGATGTAGATTTCACCATTGTGGTCTATCATGGGGCTAGATAGTGTGTCTATCCCTTTTTCATTGCTTAATTTGATTCCCCTTGGTCTTGTGCCTCTTCGTTGGCAAGGCCTTGGCAGGATGCACGCTGTGATGTGGGGATTCACCCAAAAACCCAAACCTCGGCTTCGGCCTCACTGGGGCCTCAGTGCGCCCAGTGGCTCGATACTCTTGTATTGACGATTAACATTATGTACACACGCACAATCCCCGCTTCTATCTCAGGCCACATGCCTAACCGTCTAGTCCGCCAAAAGGTCAAGAAATGCTGTGCCCCCGTTACTGATGAACCTGTTCTGTCTATGCAAAAGCAATGAATGCTCCTATGGAAGCACAAATGCATGAATCGGGTGGCCTAGGAGGAGCCCCAATAGAACAACAAAATGGAAATGACAATGTCCGACACCCAGAGCCCCAAGAGCGAAATGGTGGCCAAGTAAATGCAAAGCTGCCGCACAACACCTCGGAATGCGAATGTAGCCGATGGGCTGATGGATCAAATATAGAGATAGGTATGGAGTTCAGAATAGGAGACAAGGGAATGCTGGATAACGTAGTCTACTCGAGCTTCTTCTCCGCAACGGCGACAGCCACTGCTACGGCCGCTCCCAGTATAGCGCTTTCAGGTGCCGGGTCCAGGCACACCTGAGGTTCCGTAGTGGTGTCCGACGATGGCCGCGATGCGTTCGTCTCCTTTACAAGGTCATTCAAATAACCCTGGCAACGGTCCCGGAACCCAGGGTATTTGTTGATGACACTGCCGTCGCATGCGATTGACAGACTCCGGTGATTCTCTTCGCTTTCTACCACGGTCACCTCTTGAGTTTCCTTGATCGAAGGAGGGGCCGTCGCGGGAAATTCTGCCTCATTCCGCAGGCACCACATGCTGTGGATTGCCGTTGCCAGATATCCTGCTGCTCGCTTAGAGACGACCTGGCAGACTCGTCGGAGGAAGCGCAAATCCTCGACAGACGGTGACACGGTAAATGTATGTTCCTTCTGCAGAAGTGCCGCAGACGATGAGAGAAGCGGGGTCGTATCAGCTTCCAGCGCCGCAACGATACTAGTGTCGAACGAATACGCATCGCGCATCGAATGAGGCAACTCCCCGCCGAAGAGCTTAGCAGATTCCACCGCTTCAACAATGATGAGACGGATGATCTCGCCCAGATAACGCCCAGTGATCATATACTCCAGAGGTTGGTAGTCCGGCCGAAGGTGTGTTCGGTTCAAAACCTCATCCCAGCGAGTCTTGGGGAGGATACTGCCGCCAAACATGCTCATTTCGCTGTTGACGATAACGTGCTTGGCGTAGTCGAACCAACCTGGCGGTCTCGTACCGAACTTGGTCAGTCCAATCTCATGAACTGGAAAGTGGATCGCCACATTAGTTCCAGTTCCTAGAATAAGCGACATGCGTGTCTTGGGTTCGATGTAGGCGCGTGAGAGGAGTGTCGCGGAGCTGTCGTTCACGATCCCATCCACCTGGACATTGAGGTCTCGCTTCCGACAAGACTGAACGATAAGATCACCCAGCTCTTGCCCAACGGTGCCATTTGAACAGTGAAATCCTTTGCCCATGTGGATAACGAGACCACTACTGTTGGACGTTTGTTCAATGGGGAACGACCACGATAATCCCATCGACAGTGGCACGGCCTCTCGTCCATAGTTGGTGCCCACTTCGCGTAGCATCGAGTCGATCTTCTCCGCCATCCAATCAAAGAAGAGAGTGCCCTCCAGCAACTTGACATCTTCGTCAATGTACGACGATGAGACGTGAAGGATGCGCATGTCTCCCTGCCCACGTAGTTCAACCAATGCTACCCGCAGCGTTGAGCCACCGACATCCAGTGCGAGGAACGTTCCCGTCTCTGTTCCGGAGGGCAGGGCATGGTTGTAAGATGGTAGCATGCAGACGGAACTAGATTGTAGACAAGACTTGAACTGCGCACGGATCTTGTCTGACATGGCGACCATGTTCTGCACAGACAAAGGTGCCGTGAACAGACGATCCACCTCATCAGCAAACGTATCAAGAGAGCGACGTCCCCAATACGCTCCATGGAAAGGCTTCCGCCGCTTACGGGAGGGGTCGCGGAAGAGGGAAGGGAACAATAGCATAGCCTCCAAGGCGGCAACTATGTTCGTAAAGAGTTCTTGCATTCGATGCAAAACTTTGACCAATGGGGCCGACATGATTAAGAGAGGGAGAAGTTGGTTTTGGGTAAGAAGGAAGGCGATCAGAGAGGGTTTCCCAATCCCAAGCTGATGGTGAGGAGGGATGAGGGGGTGTATTTGTATGAGCGGGTAGTGGTGGTTTAACACAGATAAGGGCTCATACGGGCAAGTGAAACTTGGAGAGGGTCAAAGAAGCATCGATACGAGCAAATGCCACTTCAAGATAGTAAAAAAGAAGTCAAGTCAAAGGCTTGTCGGCCCGAATGATGACAATCACCGAAGCGGGAAGGATGCGCAATGCAAATGCAGAATAGAACCAGTCTCTATCCCAAGGCAATGAAGTAATTCAAGAGAAGTGGACAAGACTTTAAGAAGTACCACTGATCACCCGAACAACGAATCCTTGCACAGGGTGCAGCGGAAAGGGAACCAATGTTGAGACGGGGATAGTCTGTGCAAAGGGAGTAGTAATAGAGGTAAGTAGTAGTAGGTGGTAGATGAACCTGGCAGGGAGAGAGCGGATGGATGGAGTTGGATGACGAGCGGGCGTTCCAGTGCCTGGCGGGAAGATAATTGAATCGAGTTGCACGGAAGGAAAGATGGAGGTGTAGCCCGAGAGAAGGTAGCGTTATAATTCCAGGGGATGTATGGAGTAGATGAATTTGATTGAAGGGAGGGGGGGAGAAAGAGAGAGAAGGAAAGAGAGGAGAGGGGGGAGAAGAGAAAAGGGAATAGAAAGAGTGAAGGGAAAGTAGAGGTAGTAGTCGTGAGTGGTATCGATTGTATTGTAGTTTTGGGAGTCGCAAAGTATTCTTAGTAGGAGAGTAGCGGTGGTAGTAGTTGATAGTAATAGTGGTAACTAGCAGTAGTAGTATTAGTGGTAAGTGGTAGTAGCGGTACTACCGGGTTTGGTGGGAAAAGGAAACGGGAAACGAGAGGGACGATTGAAGGAAAGGGAACCAACCTACTACTACGCGTGTTTCATTCCCCGTCAGGAACCAACGTCCGGATTGGCTTTCCCGCAGGCTGGAATGGCTTGCTTGAGGAATCTGCAATTCAAAGGGGGAGAAAGATAAAGAGAAATCCCATCCATCACTGTAGGAAGGCGAAAATAAAAATAAAAATTAGAAAATTAAAAATTAAATTAAAAAAAAAAAAAAAAAAAAAAAAAAAAAGAAGAAGAAGGGAAATCCATGAATTTGCAGGCCATCGGTATCATACTTTCCAGTGGTTTGCCGGTCAGGTCGCAGGGTGGTAACTCACTGACTACTACTAACTTACTGCGACTGCGACTTACTTGGGTGGTACTACTTCCTCCCTGCTCTGTCTGTCTGGTATGGTTCCTGGCAGCTGGTTCGTTCCGTATTGTATTTACCTGTGACTCCATTACTTACACAGATGCCGTCATTCAATCACTGACTCGAGACTCACTTGAAGAAATCAATCCATTGTGAACGAGACACTATTAGTTACCTAATCAATTTGATGTACTGATTCAGAGAGGATCGATTGCTACCATGTCGGCTGGTAATTCCTCGGACTTTCCCCGGAAGTTATTGATGGCGACCGAAAGAGAACCTCTGCCGTCATGAACCCCTAGCAATGATGCGATGGTGCATGAAACAGATACTATTACTGCCTACATAGTAGCAGTGGTGGTGTATTGTGTAATACTTAAGAGATGGTATAGTTATCTGATCCATCATCCCGGCTAAAAGACCTCTCCGTAATCAGTACTACTAAGATTGGGTTTTATGTGAGACCTGGATCCATGCCTGGTCTAGAACGACCAGGGCTAGCTTCGGATGCTCGGAAGGTACTGTTTTTAAGAGAAAGACAGATTCAAGGATCATTTGAACACCGCATGGAAACGAGGGAGTTCCAAAATAGCCATCGAACTGCGTTATCATCATCATCATCATCATCGTCATCTAATCATCCGCAGAGATCGGGCGAATGCATGATCTAATCATTGACTTAATACTCCGTATTTCAGCAGTCTCTTCAGGGGTATAAAGAATAAGCATAACTCACTGGAAGTTTGATCTCAACGGTAGTCAGCTTATCCTTACCAGTGAAGATAGGTGACTGAAACAATGAGACACAAGAAACACCCATCAATGACATTGACATGGTTTCCCGTGCTGAGGAAAGGGTCATCCTATACTCACTCAGTATTAGATCTAAGGAAGGGAAGAGTACCACCCGGCGTGATGGGAACAGATGAACCAAGTGGGGCCCGGTGAAGTTTAGAAGCGACAGAGTTGCATCCAAAATGGATCGGGGAGGTCATCGACCCTCCGCTTGGTTTGGTCTTCAGTACATCAATCCTGTGTGTGTCTGTGTCTGTGGATACGGTTTTGACATTGTTTCGGTAATCCTTATACCGGTTCTCCAACAGTTGGTCGGGCAGAGAAATCATTTTAATTCAAATAAATTCAATCTCTTTCGGCTAGTCACATAACCGAGTATGGAGGTATACTGTGACTCCTCACAGACAAACGGGATGAGCGGGATGAGTAGGGTTCAAGGAGGGGATCGGATATACTGCAGCCTCCCTGGCATTCCCTTATCCTTTCCCAGAGTCCCCCATGATGGACTTTTGATGCAGCCAGAGGGAATTGGAATGTGACACCTTCGTTTGGTCGAGGAGCGACTGGGTGCAACGGTGGTAGTGGGCCCGCTCCCAATGGCCGGGAGTGTTACATTTTACCCATCCTCCTCCCCACCAATCATCGTCTCTCCCTCGGCAAGTTACTTTAGTACTCACTAGTAGTAAGTACTCACTACTTACTTGCTACTAAGTACTTACTCAAGCTTAATACTAATTACACTCACCTGGTATCTGATCGGTTACTTCATCCGGGTGTTTTACTTGCCATGGAAGTGCTTGGCTGAATTATTTTTAATCATCATAGCACCGTATCAACTTTAAATACCTCTAAGTAGGGGTACTACATTTCTACATCAGTGAGAGAGACTGCGCATTCCTGAAATTCCGCCAAGGAACGGGACATGTGCTGAGACGCACAAAGTCAGTAAGGTAATTGTCGATAACCACACTAAGAATAACAATCAGCAACAATATCATCCATCTCCGCATTTCAGGAGTGATCGATCTCTATCGGCAAGGACAATTTAGACCAACTCGCTACTAGCCCGATCTGTTATTTAGTAGTACTCTGCGTTTCAGGGTCCCCTCGCTACCACAGACAGGCCAAGGTTGGTGCAAGGGACCAAATGCCTGTCAAGATACCCAGGAGATTTTGATCCTGCAAGGGGCGCTATCCCCGCTAAATTTCCATTCTGATAGATGTCGGGGTGCTGTGCTGCCCTGATGCAATCAGTCATGACTCGGCAGCAGTGTCCAATCTGTAAATTTCATCTAATCATAGCATTTACCAACTACTACTTGTATACGATGAGTCGGGCACCTTTCAGTTTCACTCCCATATAGCAGCCAGAGGATAGGTGCTGCTGATACGGCCCAAGACACTCTCTGCCCACGTGGTTCTCATGACTTCCCAACCATCCATCACCCCCATATCTTCACGGAGCATGCAGGACACCTCAGCCGTGCCATGAACGCCTTAAATTTAACCCGTGTGTCTGTGTACCTACGTGGCCCATCAGAACACCAGACCTTGATCCTAACGATGGGAGCTTTGCTTACGGGAGAACCTCGACGACCACAAGTCCTGCCCCGGCAGGTCGTAACATCATGGTCATCATCATCATCATCTCCTATACAAATGACGCCAAAGTCACTATAACACCTACTAAGAGGAAATCACACTCTCCCTCAGCCCACGTCACTACTACTTGCTCTCAAGCGAAGTTACCTTGCTAGCAAGACAGAGCTACAATGATGAACCATCTGATACCGTGTCGACAGTATCCTCTGCCCCAGGACCCACAATCCTAGCACCATCTACCCATCTACAGTGAGTAGTCATGCAACCCAAGCCCCGGCAACGTGATCTACTCACTCACTAAAGATAACGCGGGTCGGGTACATATTTTCCATGACCTCGTATCGAATGAGCCAAGTCCAAGTAGTCCGGGTCATCCAAGAGGGGAACACCACTGACTGCTGCAACATTGTAAGACCAGCAAGAGATGGCGACACCACTCACCACCATCATCATTATGACTATCATCAACATAATACTACTCACACCATGTCGGACTTATATTATACATTCAATGAGACTGTCGTGCTCAACTACTTGGTCCACCCGACTTTTAGCCTTGCACTACCACCATCATCCACTCCCCATCTTGCATCACTGCCACTGTGTGACAATGGCTCGGTATCCGCGCTTACTTTCTAATTTTCTATTGGGAGAGGGGGGAACATGGGGGGTTTTAGGAGAACTGCTGGTGGTGACGTGGTTCCTATCCCCATTTTCTCTCAGATCCATGTGTTTGTGATGGCTTCATTTCCAATGGCAGTAGTGTGGTAAATAGTAATCTCATCATATTTCTGTCATAGGGGCTCCATCAGTACTTAGGTATATATTCCTATGGGATTGCTGTGCGGTGTGCTTGCACTCTCTATTAGTACTAAATCCTATCCAATCGAGCCTTGATCAGTATTCATCTAAACAGCGCTCATCATATTCATACTACTAGTAGAAGAAAATGGCACGAATAAATTCTCGAAGGCAATTATTTAGGATATACTTGACAAAGGTGGTCTGAACAGTGGTGGTATAGGACCGTACCGAAGCCAAATCCCCAGTTTAGATCTGTGCTCGGGGATCGAGAATAATATCGACATGAAGATGAGAGATTGACAGCGGCCATGTGTAGGTTGACCTTTGCTACTTGTGTAGGTTTTTTAGTATAGTTTCAGGCTCCAGCGGGAGGCGTTCGTTCCTGCCTCATGATGACATCACCCCCAGTGTGAAATAAGTGTGCATATGAATAGTCCATCGTACACTTCACTCAGGTATACTCTTTTCTTTTGTAATAGCTGCATTCTTTTTCCTCGAGCAACCCAGTAATTTACATATTGCTATAAACACTGAAACCACTCTCGCATCATGCCGACGAGAAGAGTTCAAGACAAGACGGGAGAACAGATCAACGAAGGAGACTACGTGTATACAAGGTATCGTGGAGGAACCCACGAGGGAGAAGTAAGCCTACCGTTCCCCATCTCGGTGCCATTGTCGTTGTTGAACGGCTTATGTTAGCTTCGCAATTCAGTAATTAGTCTTAGCACACGGCTAACTGAACCAACCCAGGTTGACAAAGTCGTTACGGACGAGGCTGAAGCACATGAAGAAGAGGTAGCCAACCCACCCAAAGTAAGCAAGTCCCCGCAGACCAGACTCGAGGCATCGAGCACATGCGGCTGACGGTCCTTTTCAACCCTCTCAAGGTCATCTTTCACGATCAGCATGGGCATCGTGTAGCACATAATCCGAAGACTTTGGATAAGACGGAATGAAGTGGGATGATGCTGTCGGGGCGGGGCCACGGAGGTCTGAGGGGTTTGTAAGATAATGAGGCCATACAGAATACATCAATCACTATTGGATCAAGAACCTCTTGAATAATACTGGAGCGTTGACAGCTGGGTGTTGTTGGCTTTGTGGTGGTTGCACTTGTGGTCTTCCCCGGACTGCACTGCAATGCAGATGACTCGAGCCTGGGGTACTGTTACAATTCTTTGGGTCCAGTAGCGATAGTATATCCGGGGAACATTGGCGTCTGTTGGGATCTTAATTGCTCTTTCCATCCTTTCTCAACTACCTGCTTGCTCCAAGCTTGGTCTTTTTAAAAGGCCCTGGAGCAATGGCACATCAGCATCAGCCGGCCACTTCTGCTTAAACCGGCCAGAGAATCGAACCAAGAAGCCACTGAGCTGTTCATACGTCGCAAACATGGTCATTTGACCATCATCTTCACGCTCCCGTTGCCCGTCACCGATTTCCTCCGACTGGAAATAGAGTGGCGACAGGGAGATCAAATGAACTGCTGCAGACGCTGTGCTTTGGACCAATTGTATGACAGATACCTGCTGATTAGCTTCACACTCCATACCTCTTCTATCAATTCAGGATGACTTGTGCAGGCTCGGAGTTAGTGGCAAAGCATAAAAGTTGCCTTAGTTTCCCGATATCTCACGGGTGGCCCGCGGAGTGGGAGACCGACCATTTGAAGGTCAGACAGAATGCTGACCCTTGAGAGATAATGCAAATATCCTCAGTCAGACGCATCCAATCGCTCCATTGTCCGGTAACCATGGGCTTGCGCTTCTGATGTCTAGACTGCGACTGGATCTTGGCTCTCTCCAAGTCAAGACTGCAAATCAATGACGAAGGAGTAAATCAGCATATGAGACCGAGGCCTGTCAAGAAGAATCGGAACACTTCCTGGTGTCAGATACGAGGCACACTTGTTCTGGCTATATCCGTCAGCGGTTTCTCTCTGCCCGGTAAGCGCATTCATCGCGGGTGCACCTCTCAACTCTCTATCGTGCATCACTGAACCTGCATAACATGCGGCTGTCTGCCCTAGCTAGACGTCTCCTTTGTGGGGTATTCTTGAGCCCTGTATGCCTCTGCATTTCAGTTCCCCAACAACCCTCGCCTGTGCCAGATTCGGACCATGATCTTGTCTCAGTTTTGTCGAATGCAGCCAAAGATCCCATGGTGAATAAGAAGGTATCGTCTGTGGCTGCGGGTATTATATCAGGTCTTGCAACAAACGAGAAATTGCAACAACCTGGGGATGAGCAGGTGCAATTGGCACTGAAAAGGATCGAGGCATTATTCACCAAGAAGAGTAGCTCGACAATGCTGGATTTTGCAAACGACATAGCAGCCTCAGGCCTAGTTACCCCCAAGATCCTCACCGTCTTGAATGGTTATCCGAACGCCAAAATTAACTCGGCTCATAACCTAAACCCCGACCTCAAAAGCGGAAGTATATACCCGTCTAAAGCGACCGAGGATGCACCGTATTCCATCCCAGAAGCAGCTCTTAGAGAGGCTATCTATATGCCATCTTTCTCCCAAGGGGAGAACAGCAGTGGAAGGAAACCAGTGATCTTGGTTCCAGGAACGGCCGCACCTGCTGGAACATCGTTTTATTATAATTTCGGAAAGTTGGGCAACGCTATCCCGGAAGTTGACTTGGCTTGGGTCAATATACCCCAAGCCTCTCTGGGAGACGTCCAGGTTACCGCTGAATACATCGCATATTCCATTAACTACATATCCAGTCTCTACCAGTCCAAGGTTAACATCATCTCTTGGTCCCAGGGCGGGTTGAACACACAGTGGGCCCTCAAATATTGGCCATCCACGCGGGGCTCAGTGGAGGATTTCATTGCAATAAGCCCTGATTTCCGAGGGACTGTTGAGGCCAGGCTGGTGTGCCCCTGGCTAGCGGGGATAATGTGCACCCCCGCACTGTGGCAGCAGGGGTGGGACGCTAAGTTCGTTCGCACCCTGAGGGCACTCGGGGGTGAGTCGGCGTATGTTCACACGACGACCATCTACTCTTCCTTTGACGAGGTTGTGCAGCCGATGGATGGAGACCAAGCATCTGCGATCCTCCAGGATGCACGTGGAGTTGGCGTGTCCAATAATCACTTACAGTCTATTTGCGCCCACAAGCCCGCAGGAGGATTGTACACGCATAAAGGAGTGCTATACAACCCACTTGCTTGGGCGCTTATCATCGATGCGCTAACTCATGATGGGCCCGGTAACCCTTCGCGAGTCAACGTCACCACGGTGTGTCAGCAATCAATTCCTCCACAGCTCGGTCTGGACGACTTGCTAGGCACAGAAGGACTTGTACTAGTAGCTCTGTCGGAAACCCTGAGGTATAGACCGAAGACATTCGCGGAACCCGAAATCATAGGCTATGCCGCTTCAGCGCCCGGAGTAGGGGTGAAATACCGAACTTGAAGGATGAGAGAAGTAGTAGGCAGATAGGTGGTCACTGCACCCCATACGTACACATCTGTATTTAGGTTTATACTTGGCTACAGCCAAGCACTCTCTGCGCAGGCCAACGATCACTTCCCAGAAGGGGATCCCTGTGGCTCGAGATGAGCTTGACCTTATAGGCTAATGCATTCGTTTCACGGAAGTCTTCAACAAGTGGATCAGATCCAGCCGGAAGAACTGAGTGGCAACCGTCATCGTCTCCCTCACCCGAACTGTATTGGCAGAGATCAACCCACCGCAACGGAATTGGCGGGACTGTCGTTCAGTGTATACGTAGTCCACACACAACCGAAACCGCCTGACCCAGGTAGGAAACAGGGAATAGGAATATTCCGCATTTTCTACTCCGGTGCTGAGAAGTCATGGTCGCAGATTAAAACCTATTTGCCATGGTTTGGTAGATCGTGCGACGAACAGTAGTTGATCGCAGCAAAGATAAAAAATGGATGGCTGGACGAAAGCCAATTTCAAAGGATTGTATACCCATCACGTGGCTTGTCAGGTGGTCACGCCAGTCCATTTTCAATTGCACACCTCCCTCACCTCGCCAATTCAAGCGACTCTTATCTTTCGCCATACTTACTCCATAGCTTGTTGGGCTACCCCGGAAATTGTGCATCGTGAAATCTCAGGATTCCACTGTATCCCATTCCAGGGGTCCATCTGAGATCGGGAAAAGAAAAAAAAAAGAAGACTCATTTTTTATCCAGATCCTTCCTTCTTCCCCCCTTGCACCACGCATACCATCATACCAGATCGCCCAAGCTACGGAGCAAAACTCAGCTCACCACTACCGGTGCTAACGGAGAAGACCCGCTGATCAAAGCAAGCGTATCCATGATAATCACTAAGATAATCTGTCTGGGACGATGGAAAAGAGAGCCTATATCTATGGACTGCCGATCGCTTCTCCTGGATGGAGTCGGCGGTTAGCCTGAGGTGTCCATGGGTCTGAGAACTCTGAAATGGCAAATGACACCGACACCGGCATGCCATGGATCCTCTCATTCGCCAATCCGCCAGGAATTTTCTCCCCAGGCGGCACGGTTCGCTCGTGGTTGCGGGTAACCGGCTTGGAGACTCACCATAGAACTCTTTCCAGAAAAGTAAGTCTTAGACGGCCAATTTCGCTTAGTGCGCCAAGTCCGTGGGAAGAAACTGGGAGTACGTGGACCGTCGCCAATTGACAACTGATTTTGCGGGTAGAATCAGACAACCGGCCATAGCCATGGGTCTCCCAATAGTCCATTTCAGCCACACACTCGCAACTGAGTCGGTCTAGATCTCCGGAAGGGGTAAACTCGGGGTGGAAAAGAGTTCAATGTTTCATGCCCGAGGTCCGAATCAGCTCGGGGTTAGTGGCGCTGCTGCTCACATACATACTCACATAACGCAGCCTCCCCTCCTCCTCCCTTCCACGTTTAAGGAGGGAACAAGAGGGTTTGGGGGTGGCGGCTCAGAGGATTCGATATATTCACACCTCCAGCGTAGAATTGCCGGGTCAAGTCGCTTCATTTGGCGTGGCCACCCAGTGGGATCATGGGATGACCCGTCCACGAATCTGGGCGACTTCCGGCTGCACCTTATCCAGCAATCAGAGCGTCTCCTGCGCTGATGAAGTTCGCAGCGTGGCCCGCAGCTCCACTGTCCGAAACGCTGCCAAGAGTGTCCGCCTCGTCTGATCGTCAGCGGCCGTATCAGCACTTACGTTGTCACTGGCCGTGCCCGACCCAAATTATGGAGATTCCGTAATGCTTTGCGGAGTCTTAGCCTCTCCCAATTTGTGCTGGCTCATGGGATTCCGTTTCGACGGTGTCGTGGATGGGGTGTTCTTGCAGGGGGCACCTCCATACTTGACTACTGTTCCCTGCGCGCCAGGGAGAAGATCTTTCGGATAGATACCATCGACGTCCACTTGGCTGCTTGACAGACAGCGACCGTCTGTCTTAATGACCCGGTCGTCTCCCGCTGTCCTCCTTCCTTCCTTTCCGCTAATCGTTGCCCTTTTCCCTAGCTAATCGTCACAATTTTATTTTTCTTGGGGGAGGAACTCTTCCTCTCCTAGCCACTCCTTCAAAAAATGTTGTTCTTCTGGGTTCTGTTGTTTCTTTCTTTTCGCGGGATTGTCGCGGAGGCGGAGGCGGACGATGATTTGATGTCCTTTGTGACGGTAGGAGAATTTTCCAACGTACTTATATATAAATGATCTTCTTGCTGACGAGCAGCCAGCTTCCGGAAGTGAGAGCATTGAAGTTTAATGTTGCATACTACGATCGCGAATCGGTTAGCCCAGGCTACTGGTTCGTTGCGCCATATGGCGTGATTGACCCAGAAGCTCCCACGAAGCAATGGAAGCCTTGCCAAGTTGGACCCTACATCTATGATGCAGATGGCGTACGTTTCCTCATTCCTTATCCCAGAAATTCATTTTACCCCCTTTCGTGAGGAAAGGGATGTCTCTCAAAAATGAGTGAGATCCCCGAAAGGAGTAAGTAGCTTACTAACCGGCCATACGTAGACTCTGGTTTGGGCCGGATCTTGCATGTTCGACAACCGCAACATTTTCGATTTCAAAGCCGTCAACAATATCGACGACAAACCTCACCTGTCCTTCATCCTTCAGCATGGCTATCAGGATGGTGGTAGAGACAAAGGATACGGATACGTACTCGACCAAAACTATGAGGTCGAAACTGCTGTGCCGGTGACCAACGATCTCTCAGCATTTAACATGCACGAGTTCAATGTCCTTCCTGGTGGAAAGACTGCTTTGGCTTGCGCATATCGCAACGAATATGTCGACCTGGGAGACCTCGGTCGTCCCAACGAATACGGCTGGGTTGTCGCTGGTGGCTTCGTCGAGCTGGACACCGCTACCGGCGAAGTCCTCTACGAATGGTCTTCTCTCGGCTACATCCCTATTCACGAGTCCGTGAAAGTCGATTCTCGCTCGCCGCCGGCTTCCCAACCCGGCTGGGATTATGTCCACGTGAACTCCATTGATAAGAGTACGACAGGAGACTACCTCTTGTCTGCGCGATTCACGAGCACCCTCTATCTGATCTCCGGCGAGGATGGACAGATCAAATGGCGCCTTGGTGGGAAGTACTCCGACTTCGTTCAGGACTTCACCTTCTCCAAGCAACACCACGCACGTTTTGTCGAGTCCAATGCCACCCATGCCATTGTCTCCTTCCTGAACAATGCCTCTGATGAGGCCGAAAACGAGGAAGACACATCCGCAGCGATGTTCGTGCAGATCGACACCACGACGACCCCCATGACCGCGCGTCTGCTCAAGCGCTACAACCGCCCAGACAACGGCCTGACCCGTCTCCGTGGTAGTGTTCAGACCCTGCCGAACGGAAACGTCTTCGTGGGCTGGAGTGAACAAGGCATGCAGAGCGAGCATTCGCCCGACGGCAAGGTCCTCATGCAAGGCCGCTTCGCATCCACCCGCTTCTCGACCTACCGGTCGTACAAATTCCCCTTCGTCGGCCGCCCCAACACTCCCCCGGACGTGATCGCCTCCGTCTACGGTACCGATGAGACCGACCTGGCGACGATCTTCCATGTCAGCTGGAACGGTGCCACCGACATCGCCACCTGGAACTTCTACGCGCGAGCCGACCGCCACGGCATTCCCGTCCTGATTGGCAACACAACCAAGTTCGACTTCGAGACCATGTACATCGCAGACGGCTACCTCGATTGGATCTCCGTCGAGGCCGTCGACAAGGACGGCAACGTCATCGGCTCATCTCCCATCCACCGCACCGAGACCCCACAGAACTGGCGCCTGGCCGGCTTCCAGGGTGACACGAAGCCTACCGCCGATGACCCGACCATTCTTTACGGCCCCAAGCAGGCCGAGGTGGAAGAAGATGTGGAAGAGGTGGACCCCAATGCGGAGGCTAAGGAAGCAGCCAAGCAAGCAGCCATGGCCGTGGATAAGGCGTACGAGGTTATCCACGGAGTCGGTGGCTTGCTGATCTCTGTTCTGGTCATCTGCTCCGTGGGCGGGGTCCTGGCGGGCGGTTATTGGTTTCTTCGTCGTCGTCGTATGCAGGCATACCACGAGGTTCCGTCCGAAGAGGGCCAGTCCTTGACGGAAGTTGACAGGTCGAGGGAGTAAACCCGAAAAAGAGAGGGAAGCACGCTGTGGATAGAAGATGATATGGGTGCGGGCAAGACTTGGGGGTTTGCTCGCTTGTTTGAAGGGCATTAAGGAAGGAAAAAGAAAGGAAGGAAAGACGGGTCATTATCTTTTGCATATCGCGGGCGTTCATGCATGTCTAGACACCCCCCATTTTTGTACCGTATATTCCCCCCTTGACGACTGACGTACATATTGACTACATTTAATCGGACTTGCATAAATAGACAGCCAGTGCACTTTGATTCAACTCAATAGAGTGGTGATTTCCAGTTTTGTTTTTCTGTTTACGGTATTTAGAAAAGAGACCTATCATAGAAACATGTTGCGGTTATCTCATGAAACCATAAATGAGTAACTCGGAAAAGAAAGAAGGAAAAAAGAAAGGAAAGAAAAAGAAGAAACAAATATCAACGATCAATCTTCCCCCACTCTTCGAACACCTGAGATTAATCTTCATATTCACTATCAAACTGACGAGGACATTGACGAAAGAGAAATATCAGTAATTTCCCTCTACCCGCAATTCCATGAAAGAGCAACTTAACTCTCTAGCCAATCGCTCATCCTCCCTGATCTGGAACGCCTTGGGCTTCATGAATCGTTTTTCCAATGTTTTGGCCATATTCTTCAACTTCTGGACACCAAACCTTGGCATATCGAGATTGATGGTGACGACGTCCAAGCCGCCTTTACCTTTGTATTCCGCAAAGGCCATCATTGGCAATGACCATGTTTCGCCGATCTCGAGGCTCATGGGCCAGTCACGGATGCGAAAGTAAATGTACAAGACTTGCAGTCCTGAGCAGCACCTCACCAAGTTCTCACATGCCATTGTGAAAGCCCAGTCACTTCGGACCTTGTGTATACGATGCTCGGTTAAACTTGGTTCACTGTGCATTTCCTGGTTGATCTCGACATGTCGAATTGCAGGCTGTACTTCCGAGGGGATGGTGTTGAAGAAGCGGTTCATAGTCTTCGTCGAAGTGAAGACAAATTGGGTAGTTGAGTACAGCCACCAAAGGGTGTCGCAGTAGATACTGCGACATGTAAAAACCAGTGCTATGGGCACAGGGAGTTGAGTTTTCCGACAGGGGTCCTGAATTTGCTGCGTGATGGGATCGCGCGATCGAAGCTGGTTATGATATAGGCGGTAGTACACTCTCTTTGGGTGTTTAGTCAGATCTTTCTCGCTTCTTCGTATGAGCTCGACACGGTGAGGTTCAAATATATGGTCATAGATTTGGTCTCGAATTTCCGGTGGGAGCCGTTGGAATGGCGAGGGTATCTGCGCTACTGCTTTCCCTTCAGTCGAACCGGAAGATAGACGTTTGATATTGAAATATGGAGCTGTAGACATTGTAGTAAGATGTCTAGAGTTCTGAGATCTAGTATTGGCTGGAAACTTCTTCCTGGATCTGCGGCCTCTGTAGTTGGAACGACTACGGCTGGGAGCTCCGTTACTGTTTGGTGCTCCCCATGATGGCTGAAAGTTGGCTGTATACATTTGTCCTCTAGGACGACCTCTCTGACTTCCGTAAATATGTGATTGTGTTCCACGGGACTGGGTGTGTTAGTGTGTGCATTGCATGTTGGGAGAGATCACTCACGTTCAAATGATGGTGCTGTTGACCTCGGGAGAAAGGCTGAGAATGTACAAGAGGCTGTGCATGCAGAGCTGATTGAAAGTGACCTCTATGTACTCTAGGTGCTCTAGGTGCTCTAGGCGCTCTTGCATATGCACGGTTGTTTCTCGGAGCTGGGGGGTGAGAATGGAGCATCTTGCTGGGGGGGAGACTGCATGAGCAGGGAGGAGAAGCTATGAGATGCCGAGAAGGTTGGGGTGAATGAGACAGCCAGAAGACAAAGAGATATGGTTGGAAGACGTGCAAGAATGATGCGATACAGGTGGTGGCAGCGAGAGATCGTTCACTTGATGAGATGCTGTAGATGTGTGGATTGAAGTGATGGATTCGGCAAGAAGAACTGTCAAGAGGTGAACGTATAGTATCCTACCTGTTCATAACAGTTTTTAGATCCACAATACAATGAATCAAATCATTCAAGTAACTGTACGTAGAGTAAGTGAGAAAGAGGAAGAAGATGAAGCCATACAAGTGGAAGTAAGTAACACCACTCTCAGATTGTATAGATCAGGCCATCCGCGCTAGTCCCAAAGTAGCGAATGCGAGATGAACTTCAACTTTCCTTTTCCTGCTTTTCTTTTTCCTCTCCTTCATCTGGGTTTGTCCTCTTCTGCGTTTACTTCTTTGCAAGTCTTGCAGTATAAATAGCTCAATCTGTATTGTCATCAATTCCCCTTCAATTCCCTCTAATACTTTATCCTCATTCCCCCAGTCCTCATCCCATCCCATCCCATCTCTTCCAATGTCTATCAAGTTACTACAGCGAGGAGCTACACTGCCGCCCGTGGTGGCCCCCCACCGACATCTCCGACTGTCTCTCCATCGCCCCTATTCGTCCTCTTCTTCCCTCTCTTCTTCCTCTTCCTCTTCTCCTCAATCCTCCAACAACCCTACCCAATACAGCCGCTCCAACTTCAAAGTCCTCCCCTTTGTTGCCCTCTTCGCTGTGGGCACCGGTTCCTACGTCTTACTCGTGAAATCCCGCACCGGCGTGCATAAACCCAAGCCCGGTTCCAATTGTATGTCCCTCTTCTCTGTACCTTGAACCCACACCACTGCCCACCAACCACCACCCCTCTTCTCCCCTCCAATAATAACAACTTCCCCTACCTATTTACCTACCAACCAACCGACCAACAAACAAGCACCTAAACTGACCACCTCACCTCCCTCCTTCCCCAGAATCCGATCTCACAAAACCAACCATCACCACCACCAAAATGACCACCCAACCCCGCTTCTCCCCCACCGACATCACCGTGGTCTTCATCCTCGGCGGCCCCGGCAGCGGCAAAGGCACACAATCCAGTAACCTGGTCCGCGACTATGGTTTCACCCACCTGAGCGCCGGCGATCTCCTGCGCGCCGAACAAGTCCGCGAAGGCAGCCAATACGGCGACCTCATCAAGACCTACATCCGCGAGGGCAAGATCGTGCCCATGGAGATCACCGTCGCATTGCTGTCCAACGCCATGGCCGACGCCCTGGCCTCCGGCAAGAAACAACAGCAAGAAGGTGGCCCCAAGCCCCGCTTCCTCATTGATGGATTCCCCCGCAAGCTCGACCAGGCCGTGTTCTTCGAGGATACCGTGTGTCCGTCGGAGATGACCCTGTTCTTGGATTGTCCTGAGGAGGTCATGGAGACGAGGTTGTTGAAGCGTGGAGAGACCTCCGGTAGGGATGATGATAATGCGGAGAGTATCCGGAAGAGGTTCCGTACGTTCGTCGAGACTAGTATGCCTGTTGTCAAGGCGTTCGAGGAGCAAAATAAGGTGATTTCGGTGACGGCAACGGGATCGGTTGATGAGGTGTATGAGCGCATTCGCGAGGGATTTAAGAGTAAGGGCATTAGTCCTTTGTAAGGTTGGTTTTTCTGGGTTTTGAAAATATTATAACGAGTGTTTGGTTGGGCGTGGGTGGTACATAGATGGATAGATGGTCGGTAGATACGTGAGAGCCACATTGATGAGTAGTACATTCAACTACATCATGATCCTAGTAGTAACTATATATATATGCTTATATTCTGAGTAATTTACCCTTGTTGCAACACCCCAAATTGGTCTATGTATGTATAAAGTAGTACCTTGGGAATATACATAAAAACTCAGTTACACACTCGGCATAACTCGTATCATTTGTCTGTCAGGCTTTCCCCCACCTTCTCATGATGAAATGTGGATATAAACCTGTCTAGAATCCAATAGCTACCATGGTAAATAAAAAAGAGAAATAAAAGGAAAATTGAGCCCGTGAGATGGAAATAAAGGGAAAATGGGGATAAAAAAAAAGTGTGGACACAGCAGAACATTAACATAGAAAGAACACCTTCCAAGCCCACAACTCACAACAACACACAGAAAACTTTTTATTCATTCATCCCAATGTGTATGCTTCTCTGTGTATCAGTCAATCATTCAACCAAACGGTCATCAGTCCTTTACTCCACGGCAACGGCCTCCGGGGCAGCGGCGGGTGCCGCAGGTGCTTGCTGCTGCTGCTGTTGCTGGTTGTTGTTGTTGTTGTTGTTGTTGTTGTTGTTGTTGTGACGGCGACGGTCACCACCCTTCTTGTCGTTACCCTTGCCCTGGGCAGCCTCCTCGGCAGCCTGGGCCGCCTGCAGCCCCTCGCGAACAAACCGCTCCCGCTCGCTGCGAACAACACCCAACACGTTCTCCAGGCTGCGGCGCCAGACCATCAGGCGACCCTGCACCTCGGCCCACTGCTTCTCGCCAAAGACACGGTAGGTGGCCCGGTGAACCAGAAACTCGGAGCGCAGCTGAGACAGCTTACCCTCGACGAGGCCAGCACGGATGGTGTCAATAACCCACTTTTCGACGTCGGTGGGCTCCACGCGGAGAGCCGTAGCGATCGTGGCGTAGGGGAGGGAGCGGGACGGGGTGGAAGCAGCCAGGGAGGCCAGAGTGAGCAGACGCATCTTGTTCTGCAGGGCCTCGCCGGACTCAGCCAGAACGCCGCCGGAGATGCTGGCCAGAGGAGTAGCGGAAATAAAGGCCTCGTAGGCGTCGAGGGTGTCGGCGGTGAAGATCTCGAGCAGCTCAAAGAGGGTGCTGTCGCTGGACCGGAGGGCCTGGACGGCGTCGGAGGCAGTCAGGGGGGTGAAGTCGAAGACAGCCGGGTGGGTGAGGGCGGAGGTCAGGGCGCGGACAGCGAGATCGCGGGCCTCGGGGGCGCTGGCGTTGGCGGCAGGGATGGTCTGCAGGGCCTGGACGACATGGGTCTGAGCCAACTCGGGGTCACCAGAGGCCTGGGCGGCATCGGCAATGGCGAGGTGCAGGCGCTGGGCCTCGTCGGCGTCCAGCTCCCAGGCGGCGAGCCAGCTGGGCAGCTGAGCGACCAGCTGGGACTTGAGGGCGTCAAAGGCAATGGACGAGCTGGACTGACGGATGACGGCGACGGTAGCCAGGAGAACGTGGTAGCGGCTGGAGTCGGAGGGAGCAAGAGTGTTGAAGATGGTGGACAGGATGGAGATGGCCAAGGAGGGGCCGAACTGAGGGGAGGAAGAGATGGGTTTGGCGAGGTAGGTACAGATGCGGGACAGGAACATATCCGGGTCGGAGGCCTGGTGAACTAGGTGGACAAGAAGGTTGTAGGCGGAGATGATCTCTGTATAATATAAATTATTCGTCCGTCCGTCAGTCTCTGGATCCACGTCTCGTGTATAGAGGGGTGTTCTATCGATAATACGTACCCTTCTCGGGGGCGCTGTTCAGGACAACGGCCGCGGAGACCAACTTCTTGAGAACCTCATCGCGCTGCTTGCGGTCGGGCTCTGCTTCGGACTGTTCCTGCTCACGAAGGGGCTGCAGAAGCGGGGAAATCTCGGACTGGAGGCTGCTGGAGGCCTCGGACTTGCGCAGGGCGTCGATGTACTGGGCGAACTCGTCGGCGAGCTCGGTGAAGGAACCCTCGATGAGGAGGGTGGTGGAGGGGGCGGGCATGATGGGATGGGAGGTGGTGAGAAAAGGGTGAGGGGGGAAAAGGGAGGGAAAGAAATCAAAGGAAGAGGGAAGGGAAAGAGGGAAAGAAGCGAGAAGAGGCTTTGGGGATTGATCGAATCGACTTGGTGTTGCGAGACTGACTCTGTGGAAGGGATTTGGGCGGTGGAGAAAATTCAGTGTGGGAAAAACTCTTGGCGCCGCTGCATCGGGAGATCGTCTCGACATTTACTACGGAGTACTATTATTGTTCCATTACTTCAGAAGTCTTAAACAACAATCACAACTTTTTTTTTTTTCTGGTTTCATTTCATACTAATCAACTCAGTACTCAATCTGCAATTATTACAAGAATAACTCCCAGGCGCGCTTGGGGGAATCGTACGAGAATAAAATAAAAAGAACCATCAAGTCGTAGAACATGCAACTGCAACTGGAACCCTCCTTCTGTTCCCCGGCCATCATTACAACATCTTCCCCCTTCTCATTACAACACGGCCAATTGCGACCCCAATGTGATTATTACATCCAGCAATGACAGTACTCCTCATTTTCCTCTCACCCAAGACTGATCATTTACAGAATCAGGCGCAAACCAACGAACAGCACGGTCGCCAACAGGCCCGTAGCGTGCTCCTGAGCCAGACGCATCGCCGCGTTGGCAGTGGTCGAAGACGAGCTGCTGCTGCTGGTGGTAGAGGCGCTCGATCCACTGCTACCCGAACCAGTGCTGCTGGACGAGCCGGTGGACGTGGTCAGAGAGGCGGCCGTCGTGGTGGTCGAAGAGGTAGTGCTTGAGGCCGACGCATTCAACGTGCCACAATCCTTGTCGCGCGTCTCCTGGCACTGTTCCTGCTCATCGAGAGAGGGCGAGTCCTCAATGCACTGAGCGTAGGTGGCCTCGCAGATAAAGAAGGGGATGGTCTGAGTGTACTCCGCGACATCGGCAGTGGAGCCATTGGAGCAGACGCAAGAAAAGTCCAGGGTGCTCTGCCAAACCGGTTAGCGGGTGCAAGGGTACAAAAGCGCCGAGAGTGCTGGTGCCACCTACCGGATCACACGAGTTGCTCGTAGCAACACCTCCGCAGATTTCAGGGCAAGAGTTGCGCTCAGCAGTGCACCAGGAGTCTAGACGGTGGTAATCAGTAAATGAGTGCTGGTCATGTATCCACCAGAAGGTTCTTACTTCGCTCCGACAAGCTGATGGCGCTGATGTTGAAGTCGCTGGGAAGAGTGTAGTTGCTGGACGCGGTGGCCGCGACAGCCAGAGACATCAAGACGAGAGGAAGCATGGCGAAAGAGCTACTGCCGGTAGAGCTGAGCTGGAAATGCAGAAAGTAAGATAGATGGTTGGGTGAGGTATGAGATGTTTATCTGGGATTGGATAGTCTGGCAATGAGATAAAAGAGACAGACAATCAATGGATGGAGTGGAATGGGAGAGGAGAAGGGAAGAAGGGAGACCAGGAGGAGAAAGAAGAAGAAGAGGCAGCAGAAGAATGGAAGAGGAGAAGAGAAGAGAAGCGAAGAAGAGGAAGCGACGGAGGGAAGAAAGAAGAAAGCCGGCGATAAGAGGACAAAACGGGAAGGGGCAGCAAAAACAAGACAGGAATTCCGGCTGTTTATTTATTTTAGTCTCTTTTGTTTTATTCGAGCAGAAGATTCTTGCTGCCGGGACGTGAATGAGAACCAGTGGAGGAGAGTGATTGGATGCGTTTAAACTAGCAAAGTAGTATAACTAAAGGAACTAGATAGATACTGCTGCTAGCTGGACTAAGTACGACTAAGTACTGACTGGGTCTGCAGGAGGAGAGACGGTGCAGGAGTCCTGATCGTATTAATTATAATAATGGGAAACAATAGTATAATAATACTCAGACTAATAGATAACATCCATACGTCCTGTGTTTCAATTCGAAAGCAAATTGAAAAAGAGTCGATAATCGTCTCTGACTGTTTCTCAGACTTTCCCCCTCATTTCTGGCTCCAATTTCCCGTTCCTTGTTTTGGTGCAGCAACGGACTCATGATTTGGCCGGCGATTTGTTTGTTGCCCTACGCGAGGGATACTAATTAACCCTCGAGGAGGAAGTCGCAGACTTGCAGATGCCCTGTCTGGTTTCCATTGGTCCACCTGCAAGAGAGACAAACTCCTCTCCAAGACATACTCGGTCCTCACCAAAGAGACAAGAGAGACACCAGTAGAAAAGAAAAAGGCAAAGGTAAAGAAAATTGGAGAATTGAAGAATTTTTCTACCCATTTGTCGCTGCCTGGAATGTGCAACAATTGTCCAATTTTTTTTTACTTCTATTGTTTCTCAGTTTTGTTTCCCCTCTTTTTTTTCCTGAATGGAATGGCATGAGAGAATGCTGGCGGCTGGTTGATCCGGGATATTCGGTGTGAGTGAGTCCCCTCTTGGGGCCCTCGCAGGACTGATTTCTCCTCTTTGTTATCGATTCATCCCCGGTAGCGCCGTGAGCTAAAGTGACCGGCGCAACAGATGAGTGGCTGCAGAACTGGAGCCTAAAAACTAGTCGAGCGTTAGTCGCGACGGGCGTCCATGGCATACGTAGCTCGGGCTTCAGGTGGTTTCCAAATGTTTATCCAGCCAGTCAGTTCGGCAGAAGGGAAGCAAGCAGTCTAGTCAATCCTGTCCGGTGTGTCAGGGGAATGGTGTTGATGGGATGATATTAATAGTTATCATCAGACAACTACTAGCAAATAATTGGGCGTGGCGACGGAGATATGTTTAGCCAAATATGAAGTCGAATAAATAGATGGCGGTCTTACTGTATAGAAAAGAAGCGAGCAATCCTGAATGAAAATGATTAGGATTTACTCCGCTTTTCTTTTGCCGAATTCAAGGCTGGGCACATGATATCAAAACAGTCATACCCCAATCCGGCAAGGTCCTTCCGGTATCCCAGGAGTAACCGGTTCAGTACCGTCCGAGACAGACGTTCTTTACCAGGAACCATACCAACCTGAGTAAATTGACGGTATTGTACCTTGCGGGAAAAGCTGCAACAATGTGATTCCGCCGAGTTATCCCTCGGCTGATCTCCTCCACTCATTCCTTCCATCCAGACTATTGCTTCCGTTCCCCTCATCCCTCTCTTCTACTCTGAAACATCATATCATCTATCTCAATTCGACACCTCACACCACCACACCACCTCCTATCCCTCTAATTTCACATCAATTCATACATTACCGACTTGTAAATATGTCCTCTTCAATTCTCGACACCCCCGACCCCGCCTCCTTATCCCCCTTCCTCAATGCCTCCTCCGCATCTCTCCGATCTCTCCTCCACCACCCAGACTACCTCCCCATCCGCACCTATTCGCGCATCCCTAAACCCTCCACCGGCGAAGATGGCTACTTCGCCAACACCTTAGCCACCGACCGCACTATCCCCCACGTCCTGACACTCCGTCGACGTCCGCACCTCCTCTCTCTTCTCCCCAACTCCCCGCCCACCTGGCCCGCTCCCACCGGCGCCCCGACACCAATTGAAGACCCCGATTTGATCCTCATCCTGGACATTGCTGCCCCCGGTGTCTCGGGCCATCCGTCTACTGCTCATGGCGGAGTCCTGGCTACGTCTCTCGACGAGGCCATGTCCTATGCTGTGGCACTGTATGCGCCGGAGACGGGCCCGAAGTTGGTAGAGGATGAGCAGCCGGATGGCCCGCATGTCCCGCCTACGCCGCGCGGAATGCTCTATACTGCCCAATTGGACATCCGCTACAAGAGTCCCGTTGCTGCGCCGGGGTATCTGGTCGTTCGGACTAAGGTCCTCGCTCGTGTGGGTCGCAAGTTCTGGGTGCGCGCGCAGGCCTTCCAGCCGCAGGATACAGAAGGTGCCGCTACCTCTCCCCAGGCGGAGGGAGAACCAATGCGTCTTACCACGGATGCGATGGCGTTCTGGATGCAGACGGGACCGTCGCTCTAAGTCTTTTCTTTTCTTTTTGCTGTTTGTTCTATAGATCTAGATTCTATTACCCGTGTATATAGTATATGTACATATTGCATCGACCGGTAGATAGAGCCAGTCGTTCGGAGATAGAAAGACAGAGAGAAAGAAAGGAACAGGGTCGAGGATGATGATGATGATGATGAGCCAGAAACAAGGGTGGAAGGAAGGGAAAAAAAGAAAGCGAAGCATCTACAACTTCGCACGAGACCCGATATTGCGACTGGCACTCAACACCAAGCCCACCTGCGTACTCAACGCCACCACATCCCCTTTATCATCCACGACCGTGACATCCAAATCCGTGCGTCCATCCCGCACCTTCTTCGTATACACCCGACTATACAACCACTCGACCCCTTCCTCGGGCAACCTCTTCTTCAGATCAATATTCAACGTGACCGTGGGAAACCAAAACAACCCCTTCCCACCCCCGACCGCCGCCTCCTCCGCCGCATCATCAAACCCAGCCAACGCCGTAGGAAACATATCCGTCAAATACACCAGCGCCTCATTAGTCCACCGCGCATTCACATCCCCCGCAGGCCGGAACCTCGCCCACTGCTCCGCATTCATCTTCCTCTGCTTCCTCTCCTTCTCACTAAGCTCAACAGGCACATAGAACTCCGTCTGCCCCGTCGCCTTCCGGAACTCCGAATGCTCCGGTATAAGCTTCCCCCACGCCCCATCGCGCCCTGTCCTCCCTAACGTCTCCAAATCCACCGACCCATCTCCATTCGACCCAGCCGCAGGCACAGGACTGCTGACCTTCCACCCAGTCGTAGCACTAAGTCCCTCTTCGGCGTCCGCGGGACTAACGGTAATGTATCCTGCCACCTTGACTTCGAGGTCCTCGTCATCCTCACCCTTCTTCCCTTCCGTAGTAGACGACTGCGATTGCTTCCGCTTGCCGCTATCAGGCTTCTGGAGCAGCATCACATGCAACGTACTCGTCCGCCGTCCCAGCTTCGTATCCTCGACTTTCAGCACGGCGGGACCGGCCGCTGTGCGGCGGAGGAAGGATAGTTGCATGGAGATCGGGGTCGCGGGGCTGTTCTTGTAGAGAGCTGGGTGGGTGTGCGCGAAGTGCACGAGGGCGAGACGGTACAGGACGGAGGTGGTGTAGCCGCCGTGGGGGACTGTAGTAGACAGTGAGTATGCGATATGTGGAACAGGGAAGCAAGGTGTATGTGTATATCCTACCTGCTCCGATGCACCATTCTTTGCGAAGATGGGCTGAGTAGCGGTGCGAGCTGAGGGGAGTTACTTGGATCGCGGACTCGAAGGCCGGGCCGTGGGCTGGAGGATGATGAGGGGGAGACATTGTCGGTATGTAGGTCGGTCTTCTATGTAGGAAAGAAGGTGGTGTGGTGTATGTATGTGTAGGTGTTAGAGAGAGTCTCTGGTCAGTATGCTCTATCCATGGAAGAAAAGGAGAAACCGAAAGTTGAGAGATGAAAATCTAGTTATCTGGTTATCTTGCTATCCTATCTAAAACAAAAATGGATACCGAGGGAGACCAAGTCCGAGGCGGGAAAATGCCTCGGTTGAATCTTCCACTGAGCGGATTACTAACCCGTCACAAGATTTAGTTTATCTATATACCAACTATACAGTGAGTTAGTTATCTATTGATTGTTACTGTGTAGATCACTATCAGGGACATAGTTTACGGCTTCATATTAGACTATGTGGTTTGGAGATTCTGCGTGTATTATGGCCTCGTCTATGTGACCCCTTGAACTCCCGCAGCTGCTCTCTTTCCCTCTCATTCTATATTTCTTTTCACCCCCCAAATACATTAAAATTCAGCCCGCACGCCTGTCTGCTTGTTTCTGCTTTTGTAATTGGAGATGTTCAAATAACAGTGTACTGATATGCCCGAAATATGTACCCATTTCATGCAACGCAAGTCCATCATGTACGCTTCAAGTCATGTACTCGTAGATATGCTCATTCCGCATCGTTCGTCTTTTTATGGCCCACTTCGGGTTGCCGCCAGCTTCTCCAGACACGACAAGACTCCTATCCATCACCGTGCAGTTAGCATCCTTCCACTCATTACAATCTAGGGAGAAAATCTTACCAGTCACTCCTTGTGTCAAAGTTGCCTTTGCCTCTGTGCTACGAGATCCGAGCGTCACCGTCATGGCGTAGTTGACTGCCCGCGCATTGTCCAGCTTGTTCGCCCACCGGAATACCGATTCGTCATCGCGACCATCTCCGATTGCTAGCAGGAAATCCGGCCGCGGCACATTCTCGTCCCGTTGGCTCTGCTTGAGACATGACCGCCATGCCACTTCCGCTGCCGACGCCTTGTTGATGCCCGCCGGCTCCACCACCAGCGCACGCTCCACGGGCACTGCATGCACCCCTTGACTCAAACAGGCATCATTAATGTGGCCCGCACACTCCGACGCCAGCCGCGATGCTGCCACCTGGTCCTCCGCCGACTCGTAGTGGAACATGAGCGAGCAGTGCCGCTGTTCCACCCAGCTGCCTTCCGCGCGTTCCTGGTAGTACTCTAAGATATGTGACACTGCTGCCTTCCACGCGTCCGTCTGAACCTTGTCCGTCAGCTTCAGCCAGGTCTCCGAGTTGGGCTCGCGCACGAAGCACCCGTTCTCGGCGATCAAGCCCAGGTTGGTGACCAGCCGGAACAGCCGCTCCATCTCCTCAGGCATGCGGGCGCTCATCACATACACCACGTTCCGCGGATCCTCGGTTAGTTCGGCCAGCGTCGTGATTGCACGCTGCGGCGTCGTCACGATGATACTCTTTGGTGAGCCCCAGGAGGCGAGTGTGCCTTCATAGTCCACGATGATCAGCCGGCGCGACGACCGATGGTACATTTCCTCCAACTTGTTTGTCTGGAGCCGAGGCACGGCCATGATTTCCCGGGATGACTGCTCGTTCCAGACCCGGCTCAACGTCTCACTGAATGACTTGACCCAGTTGTGGGTGGAGTTCTGCAGCACTGCCTGGTGCATCTTCGTCCACACTTCCTGGCGCTCTTGCTCATCCCTCGATAAGGCGGTATGGATGGCTTCCGCACATTGACGGTAGTCCCAGGGGTTGACCAGAAGGGCATGGTCGCCAAACACAGACGCGCTGCCAGTGAACTCGCTCAGTATCAGGGATCCGTACTTTTTGTTGCCCCATTTACCGTCCTGACAGTAGACGAACTCATGGCTGGTCAAGTTCATTCCTTCACGCAAGCTGGTAATAATCAAGGCGTCTGCCACGGAAATCAAGGCAAGATACTGGGGGAAAGCCAGATCCTGTTTCAAGAAGACCAATGGCTGATGCGCAAGCGTGGAGTGAGTGGAGTTGATCCGCATCGCAATATCGGAAATGGTTGCTTCCAGCTCGGGCTGCTCGGTGGTGCTGGTTGCCACCTGGATCAACACCACCTGGTCTCGCCATTCGGGATACGTGTTGAGGAAGAGTTCGTAGCTCAGCAGTTTCTGTCGAATTCCGCGTACCTGATCGATCTTGTCTCGCGACACGATGAGTCGCTTGCCCTCGTAACGCTCCGAAATGGTCTTAATCCATCGTTCCACGTCTGCGGCCTGCCGGCGTTGATCCCATGAAGTCGGGTCAATGCCAATCGAGAACTTGCTCACGTTGACAAAACGATCCTCCAACTGCAGTCCATCATTGGTGGCCTCCACATTGAGGATGCGGCTGCACGTCTGGAGGAAGTGCCGACAATACTCATCCGTCTGGAATCCGACTAAATTAGCACCCAGCATTCCCTCGAGAAGCTCCTTGCGAGGCGCCAGGCACCGGAACACCTCCGACGATGGGAAGGCAATGTGGAGGAAAAAGCCAATCTGGGCATCGGGAAGCAGTTTCCGCAGCATGGCCGGGACCAGCAGCAGGTGGTAATCCTGCACCCAGATGGAATCACCACGCTTCCAGTTCTTTGCGATGCGTTCGGCAAAGGCTTGGTTTGTTTTGACGTAGTAGATCCAGGAATGGTCCTCGTAGGCCTTGCTCTTGGGGTTGTCCGGAATCTGATAATGGAACACGGGCCAGAGGATCGTCTTGCAGAAGTGTGTATAGTGGCCATCAAAGTCACCATCACTGACGTAAACGGTCACGGAGCCGTACTCATCTTCGAGCTTCTCGGCGATGGCCTCCTTGGTGTGCTCCGGCAGCGCGTCAGTGGGCATCCCCAACGTACCCACCCAGACCTTGTCTTCCAGCTGTCCGGCGTCCGTGGCCGATCGCACGGCGTTGCGCAAGCCTCCGTTGCCCTGCTCGGCCGTTTCGATCGTCCAGTCGGCGTATGAGAATGAGCCTTTGCGGCTGTGGTCCGCCCAGCTGTCCCGGATATGCGAGGTTGGCGTCTTTGGGACCGATCGCGGCTTTTCTTTGGGCGCTTCTGTCCCTGAAGGTCTGATTTCTTGATGCTTGAGGATCGAGGGCGAGGCCGGAAATGCCGCTCGCGGGCGAGGTTGGTTCAGGGCCAAGGTGGAACCCCAGGCTGGGGAGTGAGCTTCGCTCTCCGTCAACAAGGCCACATCGCCGTCGGTCTTGGGGAAAGGATATCCGGTGTGCTCTTGTTCCGCCTTGGAAATATCTGTGGAGAAAATGCATTCATGTTCAGTAGTGGCACCAGGTGTAAGGCCGACTTGGGGCGCTCCATTGTTCCTCTCGAACAAGCTCAGAGTCGCGTTCGGGTTAGGAGTAGGATTCTCAGCGGGATTGGTTGGTTGAGGGCTCGTCCCCTCCGCCGGACGAATCTCGGGTTCATTCTGATGGAAATTAACCGTGTAGGGTAGGAAACTGAACCACCACACGCCGGTCAGAGAGGACCCTAAGAGTGGTGTATAGTGGGTAATCACTTACAGTGAAGCGATGTAGATAGTCATGTTGACAGCGGGGTAGCTGGGACCCCGGGACGAGTCAAACCCAGTAACCGAAAGAGAAGAGTGAGTAGAAGACGAGGGCGAGATGTACAGAAGACTGACAATTAACCTACGACTAAGAGGTAGATCGCGACGGGACAATGGGAAGAAGAGGAAGGGATGGACAGGGAGGAAAAGGGGAGAGAGAAGATGGAAGAAGGTGAATGGAAGAACAAAAAAGTGCAAGTTCTCATGGCTACGTCATGTGCTGGTGAAAGGAAAAGCAAAGCAACCCAGCGGGTTTTTTTTTTTGTTTGATTGTGTTGGGTATGTCTGGTTCCAAGTTGACACCATTCTTAGGTAATTCTCTCCATTTCCATCAGGCGACTCTCTTGTCTACCAAAATCATTTTCAGTACTATTCTGGCATTCCCTGTTTTTTTGCCTAAATGATTCCCCTGCTTTGGGGGACTTTGAACAAGTCTTTCTGCTGATGTTCTTCACGGGTCTCCACTCGGTCCCGCCATTGGCCCAAATCATGCTAGTCGGTCACATGACCTTATCTCCGCCGATCAGTTTCGGCTGCCTCAGGCGCTTAATCCCTCCCTTCCATTTCCGGCGCATCGATTCTCCGCCTCTATCTTTCTTCCTCTTCTTCCTCTTCGTTCCCTCTCCTACTACTGTCTAATTCCTGATTCCCCTGTATACTCACCCTGCCATGCCCTTGCGCGTTACTTCGGCTCCCGTTTCTGGTATCAGGAAAAACCGAAAACCCGCTACCCCGAGGCCGCGGGCCTCTCCCTTCGCCGCCCATGCCCGTCGCAAACCTTCGGCGCCGTCATCATCCGGCATCTCCAAGATCTCCAGCGAGCAGGATGAGTACGAGCAAGGCCCCCTTCCAGATCTCGGGCCATCACGTTACATCCCCGAAACTGCTCCCGTAACAGATGTGGTCGAGGCTCTCCAGTACATTCGCAACAGCATGTTTGAAGATCTGCCCCGCCGAGCGGGCATGAATAGCACGCGCATCGCCGAGATCCTCAACTTTCGTCGCTCCCTGCCTCCCCTCGCCTCCGTCGCACACGTTCATACTCTGCTGGAAGCACCCACAAAGGTCGAGAAGGAAATCATGGAGCTGGTTCGCGCCGGTCGGGTCCGCCGCTTGATTGTCCCCGGGAGAGGGAATGATGCCGCGGGCTTAGGCGATTGCTTAGTGTTGAGCGAGGAATGGGACCGCTTGGTGCTAGATAGCCCTGCATTGGAAGCACCCCTGAAAGGTGAGGCTATCGCTTTCATTTAGTCATTCAGACAGCAAGCTGATCCGTGTCAGAGAAATTTCTCGCGCTGCTTGGTCGGATCGGAAACACATGTGCAATTCCCGGAGCCGCTTTCACTCCGCCGGAGTGTATGGCCCTGGTCCGGGCTGGATTTCTCGTCTCTTCTTCGTCCCTAGCGAAAGGCTCATCCAGCTTAGCTTCCCTCCCTATTCTCCCTACAACCTCGATTACTCCAGCTTCCGCAAGTCGAAGTGGTGCTTACCCACCACACGAGGTCGGAGCGAACCCTCGCTCATCATCAACTACCGCGACACTCTTTCTTTCGCTTCCAAACACAGGCCCCTACCTTCGTCTGCTGAGCGCTGGCCGCTCACACCTCCTTTCTCTTCTGAAAAGGTCTAGTTCGAACGAGGTCCCTGTCTACCTCCTGCGTGACCGCTGGGATGGGGCGGTCGAGAGTGAAAAGAGCTTCAGTGTGGCGAAGAGAGTTCGAGGCGAGTTTTCCGGCATCTTGCCAGGCCGGACGAAAAAGTACAAGGATCTCTACGGGATGAACTTCCGCTGGGCTCTGGAGGAGGCGCTCGGGGCGGGGTTGGTCGAGATCTTCGACACTGGCAGCGTTGGCCCCGGGGTGCGTTGCTTGTGATCAAGAGGTTGTCCAATCAAAGGATGATTCTAGACCAAAAGACTTGAGGCACGAAGTGAAGCATGCTGCCATATAATCTTGGCTGCATTGCAATGCGTGCTTGACAGAGCCGTCTGCCACGGAGCCGATAGGCCCGTAGTCGAACGGACCAGACGGCTTCTCAAGACCAAATGACTGTCAATGCTCCAGGTTGCTCTTCGGAGCATGTGAGCTCATGAATATATGAACCAATAGAACATGTACATAGCCTAGCATATACCCAGACCAATCTATCTTTAATGCGTAGAGTTGATGCGGACGATCCGATAATATTCTGGCGGGTAAGAGCCAGTGACGGTTTTCGACAGAGCAAGCTATTCAATTCCATCACGGTGCGAATATGGTGGCCTCTGACTTCTGGATTTGTTGGTGATTCCACCATGTGCCTCGAAGCCTATATATATTATACATTCGTGAAGCTGCAATATATTGCGCCTCAACCGTGCTGGTCAACTCGACCAGCTGAGACACGTCGCATGCGCGCCAGATATACAATGAATATATGTAATACTAACCCTTAATTCTAAAGTTTGATGGCATTCTGTGGGTCGAGTCCCACTGACATATCATACTCCGACCCCATGATGAAGTCTAAGAAGAGGAATGAGGCGAAAGAGGAAACAAGCAATGAGGAAGGAAGGAAGGATGATGAAAATATTAATACCCCCCTTCCACCCGATACTACATAGTAACATCTAATTGAGACGTGAACTCCCTCCACTTATAACCCAAACCATCCATCACTATCCAACTACTTCAATTCTTCATCCCTTCACTCCTTATCGCCAACATAGTACTATTACTATCCCACGATGTACCTCCATCTCAACCCGCACCCCTTTTCCATCCTCCCCTCTCATCCCGCCCTTCTTGACGAAACAAACACCACTTCCTCATCACCATCCACCCCATCTCGTCCTCAACTCCGCTCCTTCCTCCACGCCTGCCTCACCGAATCCCAAGTCCTCCTCTCCTCTATCCACACCACATTCCGCCGCGACCGCAAACCCCGCCGCACATCGCCCTCCACCGCCGCCGTCCACCTCTACACGCGCACCGACAATGAAACCGGAGACTACTGGGTATGTCGACAAAGCACGCACCAAGACGCAGCAGTGACGGGGTCCGCCTCATGGGACGAATTCCGCTCCGGACTACGAGAAAACCACTCCGAAAATGAAATGGATTATACGCCGAGTGTGACGTCCGTGGTGAAGTTGCTGGAGTGGCCGTCTGAGGTTGATGTAGAAGGTGGTTGGAAGAAGGTGGATGCTCATGGTTAGTATTACTCCGTACTACTTTTCTCTTCTACTTTTCATTCCCCTTTCAATTTTCCTCGTTTGTCTGGCGACATCTTTAATCCCCTTTGGAGTTATGGTGTGTTGCGCGCGCGCGTGTGTATAGGGATATAGATATACTAATTACATACTACACTCAATGCAGTGAACCTAATCACGCATACCTTCCAACCCACAGTTCTAATTGCGCCTCGCTCGTTCCCAGTCTTAGTGATCTCGGCAGACCGAGCAGCAGCAGCTGGGGAGCAGCAAGGCTTTGTGACAGTTCAGATCCCACTTGCTGTTGAGTCGAGTCCCGACGCTATCCGGGAGAAGATCATGGCGGCAGTGCCCCGGAATACGATCTTCGCGTCCTATGCAAGTGTGGAGGAGGTCGTTGCGACGGCGGACGGGCTGCAATGGACCATGGCGACTACTTCCGATGCTGGCGGGGCGATTCCTCAGTGGATCCAGCGGAGCTGGACCATGGGCGGAGTCCCTAAGGCTGTTGTCGCTGATGTGGGCTTGTTTCTGGCCTGGACGGCCCGCCGGAGATCTTAGGCGACTCTTAAGACAGTGTGGAGGTAATTACTGGGTACAATGGTGCAGAAGAAGAAGTACTACAGATGGATTGCACTTCGAGACCGCTTCATGTGTCACGGTCTCGAGATTGTACTGGTGCGAAGTTGTAGATTACGATTCCATCACTTCTCGTTATTGAATAAACAATTGAATTAATCAAGCCAGTCGCTCACGCATAGTGGTCTCCTGAGCTAATAAATCGAGTTTTTGGCCTCCAGACTCCCGGCTCCTCTCTCACGGCAATGGGATGCTGATACATACAAGGCATGCGGCTATGAGACGCCCAATAGAACAACGTGATATAAAAAGACAAGGGTTGCTGTCATCCAGCTAAAGTAGAGAAGATTTGCCAATGACCCTATGAATTAGGAACATCCAACATGTCCTGCCAATACTCAGGAACTGGCAGGCGGATGGAATGTTACCACGTATAAGTAGAAGAATTTTGACCTCAAAGAAGCACAATCATGAGATACCACACGTAGAAACGTGCGATTCGATATATAAAAGAGGAAACAGGGCGGGTCGACTCTGCGAACCCCCTCATGAGTAGCATAGATGTATAGTCAAAGTAGAATAATGCAACGCGCAAACAGGAGATGGGATTGAAGAACCGAACCGGGGAAAAAGGAAAAGGAAAGGAAATGGGAGTTAAGACAGTCGTCACAGGTAGGAAAATTATTCACTTGGCAATAGAAAGGGTATTATAGTGAGTCGCATCAGCGCGTTTGGAATCCATCACAGAAGGAATGGGGAGGTGATATCTAATAATGAACAAAAGGAACAGGAGATGTTTAGACATTGACACGGATCTTCCGTGAGTAGAACTGGTTCACCGCTGGGATGTACCAGCAGCGTTTGTCTCGGGTTGAGACTGAGGGGCACTCTGGCTTGACATTGCTAGTGCGTTGACGTTAGCTGACGCAAGTTGGGCTCTTAGAGCGGCGACTTCCGTTCGAAGTCCATTCAATTCGTCGTGCACCGAGCGGACATAAGCCCACAGCTTGTCTTCCCGCTCACGGAACTGCTCAATGAGGTTGGACTCGTGAGGACTGGTCAGTTGGTTGCCATTATTCGAGGTCCCTTCTGATCCAGGTTTTGTCGGTAGTGGACCGCCGTGGTTGTTTGTGTGATTGTGAGGGGTCATGTGTTTTGTAGCTGTCGAAGGCGCCGGCGGCACTGATCCTTGAGAGTGAAGGCCGAACCGAGCTTCAGACGAGTTCATCCCAGGGGGCGGCGGGAGCTGGGGAGCACCCGGTTGCGGTGGAGGCAGACCCAAGCCCGAAGCAGCATGATTCGTTACCGAACTCGAAGAAGATCCTGTCCTGCCGAATGTCTGCTGCTGGAACGACTGAGCCATGCCGGGCGAATGAGCACGATGATGAATGTTATTCTCCGGCCCATGGCCAAGCTGATGTGATGACAGTGCATTTGGGGACAATGGTTTCGGGCTCCCTGTGATGTTGGTGGGGAAAACCGATGCCCCTGAAGGCTGACCAGGCGGTGGGAATGTCATGTTGCCGGACTGCGATACGGGAGACGTTGACGCACTAGAGCCCCCATGGCTTGGAGGAGGAAAGAGACCCCCGGGGGAAGGTCTTCCTGAAGCGATCGGTGGATATGTGCTGGGCTGGCGTGGTTGATAGCTCGTAGTGTTTGAACGTGAAATGGAGTCCGTCGACATGTCATGCTTCTTGATGCTGGGCATGAGTCGCCGCTCTTCTTCCTCATCCATGCGCTCTGGCTCAGCTGTGTACACAAGTCCGTCCATCGTATCATCCGCGGCTCCAGGGGCCGGAGCCTCGCCGTATTCATCCTCGGGAACGTAGCTTCCCATGCTTGCTCTGCGCCCTGCGCATCCGCCTTGGCCCTTGTTGTGGCGAGCTAAAGCGTCGCCACGGGCGAACCTGCGCCCGCACTTAGGGCAAATATGGGGCCGTTCGCCAGTATGAAGTTTTGTGTGTCTCTTCAGATCATGTAACCGACGGAAGCGCGATTGACATGTTTGGCAAACATATGGCTTCTCCTGGCTATGCGTAAGCAAATGGCTCTTCAGGTTATGATGCCTGGTAAACTCTGTAGCACAATATGGGCAACGATGCTTTTTGGCCGACGGTGACCGCTGGCCTTTGTGAAACCCAGAACCGGGTAAGCTGAGACCACGGCGAGGGTCATTGAAACTAGCCGTGGGCATCGGATACGAGAAGGCTTTGTTGCCTGTTTCTTGCGGCATTTCTCCGTCATCACGGTGGCGAGGATGATCGCCATCTGCAGAGCCAGAATCCTCGATAGGACCAGGACTGGCCACGGTTGAGGCATCGATAAGTGTGTTATTGTTATCGGCTGCCCCGAACGTATCAGGTGCATTGCCTGGTCCTGAATGTGAATCAACTTGCATTTGGTCTGACGAAGATTGCATGCCCTCATTCACGGGATTTGTCTGCTTCTCGCTGGCACCGAGGGCCTCTCTCGCAACTTGTGAGCTGTGCTGTTCTGATTCCTTCTCGTGCTCCAGCGGGCGATCTGTCTGGCCAGCCGTGGCTGGCGGTGCGGTCGTCGTCATCGGTGGTAGCGAATCGCCGGAGCGCGAAACGTTCAGACCTGCACTGGCGATAGAGGACAGGCTTGAATCAGGCTTTGACTGTTTCAGAAAAGCGAGCGGTTCCGACGGAGCGGATATTACGGGGTTCGATGGCCCTGGCAATGGTTTCGAGATAGGAACAGGTTCGTTGTTCGATTGCATCAATGCAGCCATGGATAATGGATGTTTTGCGCCAGCCTGGAATGGTTGGCGAAGGTGTGAGAAAGCTAAGTCAACAGAGGCCATGTCAGTAGGAGTAGTCTTTCTCCGGTGATGAGTGGGGAGTCATGGAAGATCCAGGGCGACCAAGAAAGAGGGGATAAAAGGGCATCAGATGTCCGAGGGCACAACGGACATATAGAAAGCAATGAGGCAGGACAAAAGAACGAGTAACATTGATCAGAGGCACTGTTGCGTGGGGCGCTCACCTAGAACCGAGTGTGGCGCAAGCTGACGGGAGGTTCAGCCTTCGCGCGATGTCTTGTCAGACAATGAGGTCCCACAGATACAGATACGGGCCTCGCAGGAGGTAAAAATAGCGGTCAGCCTTGCAATCAGATGAAGAAGGTTGAGTCTAGCGCCCGCACGATCTGGATCCGGATCTGGTGGGAGGAGGGGGGTGGAGGGGACTTTAGTCCATCTGGTGGAAAGCCGTATGAGACCGGGGTTGTACGGCGGAATGACAATGCTTGGGTTAGGCTGCAGGGAGGAAGCTGGAACCCGCGATTGTCAAAGCAACGACGTCAGGAGAATTATGCAGAGCTATGTCGTTGAAAGCTGGTCAATGTACAAGTGACATGAATCTCCAGCAAAGCATGAAGTCTTCGAAAAGAAGAAAAGAAAAGGTAAGGGGGAGGAGAAAAGGGTGGGAGGAAAGATGGAGAGCTTTCGGGAGACGGAAGAGGGACTGTTGGCGGAAGGATGTAGAAATGAACGAAAATCCCCAAAGAACAAGGACTATTGGACGATGATGAAGCGTCAGAAGGAAGATGGAAAAGGTGGGACCGCGTTTATTACGAAGTGGAGTGAATAAAGAGAGACGCCAAAGGAGGTGAAGAAAAAGAGGAAGAAGAAGTCAGTTGGTGGAGAGAGAAGCATAAAACCTGATGCAGACAGACAGTGGCAGAATGGATACAGGAGGGAAGGCAGGCAGGCAGGCAGGCAAGAGAATAGTGTAGTTGATTAGTTAGTTCACTTTGGTTCGCAGTAGTAAGCAGGAGGTGAATAACTAGCAGCAGTAACAATACTAAATAAGTAAAGTACTGTGAAAGGTTGTAATGTTGGTTTCGGGTCGCCTAGGGAGCAGCCGCGGGGATCGTTCCTGATTGGGTCAGGCGGTCAAAGCGAAACAAACTTCCAGGTGGAAAGAAAAATAAGATTTCTATCAAAAAACAAGACTAGAGAGGAGGGAAAAAAAGAGGTATAGTCACAAAAATGAGGAGATATTCAGCGTGAGACCTAGATAAGTCTGATATAACTCAGCGTACACATACAGAGCGAGAGGGAAAGAGAGAGAGAGAAAGAGGAGGAGAGAAGAGCCGGAAGAAGAACACGAGGAAGGCAGAGTGGCGTGGAGAAGTGGCCCGTACCATTGATGACCAAGGTTACGGGCGGCTCTGCCGGGTGGACGCTGGTCAGGAAACCGGAAACTTTCCAACTTTCCCGTCCCATTTGAGGCGTTGCGTATTAATCACCGCCGCATGGGCTGAGCAAACTGAAAGCTTGCAGATAACTAGATACTCCTGTATGTAGTATGAAATAAAAGTAAATTCGCCCATTTGGGGCATCATTCTGAAGGTTACTACTACACAGCTACTGGATAGCTTAATGTGATGTTCTCCTCCATATTGAGGGTGACGATGCAGAACCTTTCCCCTCAGCATGGGCCTTTGGGGCTGAGTATACAAGATCTACGGAGTACATACTAGTGAACTACTCACTAGTAATTTACTACAGAGCACGGTGTACAGAGTGCCTGCCTTACCAGATACACTAAAGTTCTTAGTCTCGATAACTGAGAAGCAGCTTAATATAGAGGGTGCGTCTTGGCATTCATGGAGAGGCAAGATAGTAGTCCATTCTCATGATCCACATCCACGTATTCTACACTAATCATCTTGAGTTTTGTATAATTGCTTCATTCATGGATGTCGTGTAGGTTTAATAACCTGTCTCTATCAAACAATCACGGAATAAAAGGGGTTGCTGCCACTGTACGTAAGTAATGTCCAACTGTGGAGCATCGCCTACTCTTACTACAGACCATACTACTGCAGGTTACATAGTACGTTTGCGTCTATTGGTTGGCTTCAACAGACCCTACAGCTGAAAACTTGATTTCATTAGCTGACAAGCGACGCCTTGCCACAGTTATGGGACATTCCAGAGCCTGAAGAAATGAGCGTAAAGCACAAGACACAGCCATATGGTGGGTGGCTGAACCGGAGGATACAGACAAGGTCTGCCGACTCTCATTTATGCATGAAAAAGTGGGACGGAAAAAAAGAGTAAGAGGGACGGAGTGAGAGAGAAACACACACAGGAGACCAAAGGGAGACGAAAGCTGAAGGTGCCAATAGAGTACGGTGTTCTCCGTATGCAGGACAGTGGAACTACAGAAAAATTCGTCTACATTGGGCCACTGGGTTGGGAGGGCTATACTAGATTCAGGAGAGGCGGATGGAAAATGAGGCTGTGTGGCTAGGCTGAAACTTCATTGTGGCTGGCAGTCCAGCTGCGGAGAAAGCTGGTGGCTCTGGGCGCCTGACCAGTTGGAGCCAGTTTTCTAGAACCGAGTGGGGTGGTCACACGGTGGCTGTACAGGCCCACCGCCTGCCCGACATGCGCTTTGGGCCTCTTCTCATTTGTTCTCCACCCACCAACAGCTGCCATGTTTTATTCCTAATCATGTTACGACTACTTAATACAGAGTAAAGGAGTAGTACTTTGTGTCGTACTAACAATGCTGCTCACTACCCTTGTGACCCAGATTGGTACTACATAGGAAGTAGTCCTTCACTCATTACTTAGTACTCTACTCACTACTATTTCATGGTCTCTGCACGCCAAACTTACTAGGTCACCACGGTAAGCGAAGATGGCTTAGAATTCCAGCACCAATACATCACTAGTCGTTAGTACTTACTTTCCTTTTTTGCCTTTTCCTCAATATCGAGACATTCAGGGTCTTACAATATGTGAATTCAAAGCTAAGAAGAGGCCATACGCCTAATATCTGATCCTCCCTACTACTACTCCCGAGGCTGCGATCTCCGTCCGCAAGCTCCCTTATTGTCCCCCTTGCCGTTATGTCATTATCCAGCTTCTCGGAGTACTCCGGATCCCTTTGGTGTCCAAGCCTGATAGCCCCGAGTCATGGCATGCGTGTCTTCCAAACTTTGTCCACAACAACATAGTTCTGACAGTAGACCCCTTGAATTACGCGTGGGGTGTGAACTAACTTGAGGGTGCTATAACGAGTCGGTCGTTTTTTTTCCCGTTAGAAAACTCTTCTTGGCCCTCTGTATCATGGAAGGTGGATCAGTAGTAGGTGATCCAAAGCATTCGTCATGATATTCTTAGGCAACATCGAGCCAGATATGTCATGTGCTAATGGTCAAGGCATCCACGATGATGAAGAATATGTCCTATTTATACAATAGCAAAGTTGTACTATCAGTGGGATTTCAGGGTTGATAGTAAGACCCTGCTTACCTAGTACCTACGCACTGGTACTTGGCCATGTAGTTCAACAACTACCCGCCTGTGATGATAGTATGGGAGGATACACGGCAGATCCTTTAGTGATATCAGTCTCTGAATGTCATACGCTACATAGAACAGAACAATATACTAAGTGAATATTCAATAGATTTGCTCATTTATCTGTCGTGTCATGATGCACTCAGTTTGTTAGCAATGCAGCTACAGGCGGCTCATCCGGGGGCAATTGTTATCTGTATAACCGAGTTTCCTCTTACTTGGGTAGTAGCATATATATGACTTTCGGTTCACCTCAATAAATGATAGTTGATTTCGAGCCGTTTCCATCTCCCGGGAGAATAAGTCTAGGGTTCGTGTCTAATCATCGACTACTAACTCAACGACGTCGTCACCATTTTTTTGATCATCGCAATAAAGGGAGTATTCTTCATAGACCAGAGACCTGCAATATTTGATCTTTATTGAGAGCTCAGTTTGCTCGCTAATGCTAGCCATGATAAGAATTGCTTAGTTGACATTTGCATACCGGTGATTGAAATTTTACTATGTTTCATGCTGGTTTGATGAATAGGGCTCCCTCAGAAGATGTCTACAACTTATGATGAGGTCGGGGAGCGTAAGGCTTCTATTTGTGATGTGGCAAAACTGCAACATTTGTGTTGAGCGAGAATTGTCTTTTCCTTCATCCATGATTGTGCTTTTGATGAATTTGCGATGTTGGACCACAACTCGCCTATCGGAGTCCTCTATATTTCGGGTTGGAGAGACTTACGAGCACAGAAAATGCCACCCAACACTCGAGGGAAAGATGTTGGCATCTCATTTCCTGGGCAGGCCTAACTGTGAGCTTTTGTGAAAGTTTCGGGCGCGACCGAGAAGCAGGAATCGCAGGGCTGAACGTTGCGTTGATCTAGCTTGACTTTCCGACAGATAGCGTGTCCGCAGCTCTCAACCGTCAGGAGAGGGGGAAGAAATGACATGCAATTTGAGCTAGTGCTCACGAAAGGCAATGTGCACGACTATTGCCCCTTCCAGGTTCTCAAGGTTCGTGTCCCAACACATGCAGCCCCTGATGCTGGAGTACCAAATTCGTTGCCAAAGAGCACGAACGCTTGGATTTACGCCAGCTCATTGGTCTAGGCTGGAGGGAGAGGCCGATTCCTAGACTTCAATCTATACTGCTTCTGAGATATCACAGACACCCTAAGTCGGTTCGGTGCGCATACAGATAATACCCCTGTACCTGATCTGGTCGTGGATTGGGGATCACATCATTGAGTGCTCGCCTCCCTCGCTATTCGATGCAAGGTTCCATATCCTGGACGAGGAAATCATGGCCTGTGTTGGCACGTCAACATGGAAGAATTGCCATGGCACAGAAGAGGAGAAAAGCAGCCGGAAGAGTCCAGAGAAGAGGGCGCTTAAGCGCCGTGACGGGAATGGTGGATGTGATAACCAGTGCAGCTGGCCAGGGACTAGTAGCTCAACACGTGAGGGGACGAAGAGGGGGGAAAGGGAAGGAAAGGAAGGAAGGAAGGAAGGAAGGAAGGGAAGGGTCACCTTCACCCCATCCACTCCCAACCCGTCAATTTGGTTCTCTCAATCCTCACATTCTTCCCCTTCCCCCGATGTCACTCCCAGCGACTAAGTATGGATCAGGCCAGGGTGAGTGTTCATTCTGTTCCGCTGTCTTTCCGAAAGCACGCACAACCCTCCCATATCAACTGACTGATCCCTTCCTCCAGTACTAGTAGATAAACCCCTCATGGCTTTTTCTTCTTTTAGAGCTACTCGGAACCTGCAGCAGAAATCCTGCTGTTGACTCTCGCGGGCGTTGATGGCTGGCGGTTCTGCAACATCTGTGGTTGGCTGGGCCCCGAGACGATCAACAGTTGGCGCCGGGAAGAAGAAGCCAGACCGGCTGATTGACTCTCCTCATTCGCTGCACGGGTGACAGGCCGTGCATCTGGAGTGACAGCACGGGAACCTCCATGGCCTTTGCCCCGGCGTATCGCGACTTTCCCCACTGTGATAAGCCAGTCCAACTGCTCTAGTGGTGTTGCTCGATATCCAGTCATCGTGCTCCTCACCCCTGTCGTCCTCTACTCACACCCAAGACCATCTCTCGACCACCCAATCACTGGCTTCACTTTGATGTGCTGCATGTTGCCGGGCGCTTATTTTCCCCTTCACATACAGTCCATACAATCCAGCTCGCGATGTGCGCTCCCCCGCCTGGCGACGGATGGCGAGGCCAGGGCCCATCATTGATATTCAAATCGGTCATGCTGCCCAGAGATCGTCTTGCCCTCGCGGCTCCTTCATCTTCTTTTTCTTCTCTGACTCCAAACGTATCACTTCAGCCTTGCGCTGTGGCCCGCCCCTTGTTTCAACCTGTGCAGGATCCAAGAAGTGATCTCAAGTGAGGTGAAAAGCCAAGCAGTAGGCCATCGGTTCGTTCTCTTCCACGTTGATCTCTTACCCTATGTCTCCCAAGGTGAACAATGTCCAACTGATAGTCCTTCACAGTCAGGGCTTGCACGCTTGCCTCATCGTCGTCCTACATCTAGGTATGTGCCTTTTGAATATTCAGTTCACAGCTTATGGGGACATGATCCTACAAACTTTGCATTGGCTCTTTCTTTTGTCCTGCTTGGAAGCTAACTAGTGTGGCTTTAGGCTTGATGCTTGTGTAGCTGTGCTGTCACAAGTGCCTGCTGTACTCCACAGTTGGCAATCTACCGGGCGAAGGTTGAGAGCTGGTTCTCTTCACACCTTTCGAGTTCTCTGCAAGCCTCCTTTGCGCTCAGCGACTTTGCCTGCCTGCACCGCCCGACAATCACTATCGCTCCCCTCGGCCTTTAGAAGCAGTGTCGCCTGTGGCTCTTATCCAGTCACAAACCCGGGGTAATGGCGCTACCATCACAACCTGCTGTGACTACAGAGGAACGGAGCTCTTCCGAGTGGTCGAGTTCCTCGCTGAAGGGTGGTCGAACAGCTCGCTTCGCAGAAGCAACCATGATTCACTCCCCTTCTAGTCCCGGAGATAGCGGAAAGTCTCCTTTTGCCGACCCTCCCAGCAATTCGCAGACGCCCCCTGACGTGTCTGACCTCGGCTTCGGCTATGTAGCTGCGAGTGACCCTGCTAAGCATGCCTCGCATCACGATATTCCGGCCAATGACCAGAAGGGTGCTCTCAAGGTTCCAGGAACACCAGGCCGGACTTTGAATCCGTTGAGTCCAACGTTTCGAGAGGAATTTTTCGTGGAGAAGCAAGAAAAGATTACGGAAAAGGAAAACCAGAGAGACCTGGTAAGTGAATGCGAGTGTATTTGTTGACCTGCCTGGGTGCTTATCCAAGTTGCTATAGCGTATCAAGTTACGTGTTCGGGTAGCCAAGGTGTTCCTTCGTTTCATCAACCTTGGCTGCAGTATGATTGTCCTTACCATCCTGGGAACGACATTGACTGTCTTCAACGCGACGAAGTCACTGCCTGAGCGAAACACTTCCCCTCCTTGGGAATTTGGCACAAATCCTTGGCCACAATATCTGCTTCTAGCCGTTTCATGTCTCTCCTTGATTGCCTGCCTTGGTGTCTTCTGGGGCTACTGGAGAGGGGGACGCAGACGTGCACAGAAATATGCGGCTTATTACTCGCTCCTGTCGGTGTTCCTCTTCATCTTCCAACTAGTCATGTGGATTGTTGCCGCCGCAATCTTTGAACATTCGAAGGCTACTGGAGACGACAAAGACCTATGGGGCTGGGCTTGTGTCCATAACGAGAGAGAACAACTATTCAAAGACCAAATCGACTACGCACTCCTCTGTCGTCTGCAGGTAAGTCAGCTATCTAACCAGTACCTGCTACATGCTAACGAACATCTACAGGACTGGGGATTGGTCTGTGCCGTCATTGAAATCGTCCTTGAAGTCTTTGTCCTCGTAATCTACGGTGTCATTTTCTACCGCTTCTGGAGCAAGAGAAAGCTGGCCAGGTCGATGGACCGTCGAGACAGAGCACGGACAGACCTGTACATCGCTCAGCTCCGCCAGAACATGGACCCCAACACGCCCGGATTTCCCACCATGCCCAAGGCTCCCTTCGTGTCAACCTCGATTCCTCAAGACCAGTATTCTGCTGCTGAGAACGGACAGATGTGCACAACCCAGTTCGCCACTCCCCCGACTGATTTCAAAAAGCAGTCGGCGTTCCAGCTTCAGCCGCCCCCGATTAGGGTGCAGCAGGCATCTCCACAACCGGTGCAGAGTGAATTCCCACCGCCACCTGCACCGGCACCGGTTCCAAGCGCTCCTAACCAGCACATGGGTGCAGCACCCGGCGAACGAACCTATGAGTCTGTGCCCATTCCCGGTGCTTATGCCGGCCCTATGAGTCCTAGCTTTCCGCACGGAACCCACCAGTAAAATCCCTGACCGTTGCCTTGCTGGCTGGACATAAGTCTAGAAGAGAAAATAAGGAAAAGGATCATGTCTTTAAATACTGACACACCAGTCCAGCTTTCAAAGACTTGGCCCTCAAAGATTGCCTATAGCTCTTGTACTCTTTGATGATGATTGATCTGTTTTCGATATGACGTGGTCCCTCACCTGTTTCTGGACTACCTCACGGCCGTTTCCCCCCTATCTATTGATTACCCTTCACTTTCTATATAAGTGTCAGCTTTGTTGTTTAATTGTTTTTATACCAGTGATACACTCAACTACGTTGGTTTTTTGTCTAATCATTTCCTCTGTTTCCTTATGCCGTGGCCTATACAGGCATACAAGGCATGTAATTGCGGAATACGAATATTGGTTGGAGGTGGTTAATTATGGTGTTGTTGTTCTTGGTTGCGAACAGCCAGGATGGTGGGTTGTGTTAGTTGGACAAATAGTTAAGATCTTTTCAAGTAAAGAGTAACCGGATCTCTTCGTTATTATGTAAACAAGGGAGTGTCATGGCGTTCATGGCATATCCAGCAACGTATGAACATGTAAAATAAACACGAAACCATAACGTTAACCATCCCTGACATGTAGGTCTATCACCTACCCAAGTGGAACGCGAATAAGTTGAAAGAAACGCACACCACCCACCCAGCCACTAGAACTCCCTCCCAATAGCAACCAAAAGCCTATATCCAACCGGAAGAAAAATGAACATCCCTCGTATCGCATCGTTTGGCATTCCATACAAAGACCGTGACTGTACAATCATTCACGTCCGCACACGCAAAGGCAGAACTGTCACATGAGCTCTGGATTATATGGCTCCTTCTTCGAGAACGGCATTTGCATCCTTCGAAACGAAGATCTCCTCCAACTTACCGGCACCGACGCCGTCCGACCCATCATCGTTCCGTAAGACCAAGCCCTGCTCATTGGCCAAGTGAAGTAGACAAATGAACCCAAAGGAGGTGCTGATGTCGCGGAGTGTTTCTCGGGGATACACTGTCTTCAATGAGTTCATGATCTGGGTAAATCGAAGGCTCTCGTTTGCTTGTTTCTCGTCCTCGGGTCCATGGTCTGGGCTGGTATCCATCGGCTCCGGCTCCTGCTCCGGCTGCGCTTCAGCTTCAGCATCATGAGTTTCTGCTTCCTCAGAGGACTTTGTAGGGTCTTCAGCTGGGGGAGCAGGCTCGAAATGCGTAGTTGATATCAGCCGCTCACCCATGCCCTTCCACATCTCCACTTTCAGTCGCCGGACGTCCACCTTCTTGGCAACTCGTGCATATGCCACGTAGTCAGGTCGTGCCCTACGCGCGCCCTGCGTTACCAGCTGCGAGCCAAACCCACCACTGTTCTGCGTGGCCCCAGGGGCCGATCCCATCATATTGAGAAGGGCACTAAGACCTGTTGCACCGCCGGCCTCGCCCGCGGATGTGCCTGGAGGTCCATCAGCAGGAGGAGACAACATTTCCCTGGCATCTGCAAAGGGGAGGTTGTCGTCATCATCATCCAAGCCGAAGCCGTTGGGGAATGCCAGACCATCATCATCTGCAAAGAAGTTGGCATCATAAGCACCCTGAGCGCCTTCTTCGGACGCTGCAGCATCTTCCACCTTGTGATTAGCCCAGAATGCCTCGTCCATCTCGCCGTTACCTGCCGTCTGGTCTTGTCGTCGCTGAGTGAATTGCCGAGGACCTGTCAGCTTCTTTGAGCCCATCTTAGCCTTAGGTTTCAAGAACAGACGAAGTAGCTGGCGCGAATTGAAGTGTTTGTCATCCGGAAGTAGGTTGCGTCCTTTAGTCTTCCACTGCGTCTTGGGCAGGGATATGGTGGAGTTGGAACTGGCCGGAGTGTATATTATCTCAGCAATAGCCGGGTCCAAAGGAGCACCAAAATCGATTTCAAAGGGCTCCTTCTCCTTGCGCTGCTTTGGTGCCAGATTGGCATTCGTTGTGGCCGTTTGCTCCTTGATTCGCCGGATCTTCCAGTGCTCGGGGCCAGCCCAGTTCTTTTGCAGGGCGTTATCAAAATAGCTGAGGATGTTCTCATGGTCCCGGTTCTCTGGCTGGTGGCTGAGAGAGATAGTATATGGATCTTCATTGTCGAGCTCTTCACCATCAGCGTTCTCGTCACCTTCCCTATCGACGCGGTGCACCTTGAGCATTGGTTCAAGAGCAGCCTCACGTGCCCACGCCTCACCACCGTCACCAAAACCAGCATCGCCACCTAGGTCGAATCCGGCTAATGTAGCGTCGTCATCATCGAATCCCACGGCATTATCGTCATCGAGCATGATGCCCGATGCATCGTTGGGGTGCTGACTTTCCTCCTTGTCGTTACGCCAGTCTTCGGGGGCTTTCAGGAAGGGTATATCTAGCGAGCCGCTCGGATCACCGAGGTCGAAGTTCTTGAGTGATGGGCAGATATCCTGGGTCTCGAGGCGGTCCAGATCCGGAAAGAATTTGCTCGCCAGCGGAGCTATGTCGATTTTTGCGTTATCATCAAAGACATTATCCGCCGACTGGCTGGGGCCGGATGGGGAGCCTGGCTGCTGGGGTTCTTCTGACTCTTCCAAGTCTTGATTGGCATCCTCTGCATCCTTGGAGGTCTCCTCAGCGGCATCGTCACTGCTGTCAAACACGATGCGCCCTTGGCTATCTATTGATAGGTGGTTAAGGAGCAGGCCTTTAGCACCACCTTCATCAAAATCCGCCGAGGCTTTCTTAAACAGAGGATCAACTGAAAATTCCAGCTCAAACTTCTTCAGCTGGAGCGAAGCGAAGGAGGGGGCAAGGGTAGCTTCATGTGTCCGTTGTGCCTAAAAGTGCCAAGTTAGTTACCCTGAAGGATGTCTATATGTTTGATACGCCTACAAACCTTTCTTCGCGCCTTCCTGGCCGCACTTTCATCACCGTCCTCATCATCCTCGGCATCTTCGCCGTCTGCGCCAGCTTCGCGAGCCCTCTTATCCCGGCTATCCGCCAAACCACTGAGCAGCTTACCCGTCTCCGTTGCCACACTGTCTACTCTGCTTGTATAAATTTTCACACATCCATCCAAGGTGCAACTGGCCTTCTGGAAATTCACACCATCTCCTTCCTTGAGGAGAGACATGTCGTGGAAATAGTCGATCAAGGCAAAGTTCCAGGAGTTATTGGCGTTGATCTTGTTGTCGGTCGCCATCTTCATCCATTCTTCAAAGTTTGCCAAGATAGGCACGCGCTTCATTGGGGTGACTGCCCGACGGCGTCCGTCGACATCGCTGTCGCGACCCCGATGTCCCGATCCACGGGGCGTCGACGGGCTCATGTTGTTGAAGTCGTGACCGGTGTATCGTCGAGGGGGCATGGGGGTCTTCACGGCGGCCTTGATCTGATCCATCTGGCGATCATGTCGCGCCTGTCTGGCCTCCATACGGGCCGCCTTCTCGCCCATGTCATCATTGAGCGGGATCCTAGTGCGGTCAGCGCCATGGCTGCATTATAGGATGAGATGGGGTGCGATAGTATAGGACATACTTCATAGGTGAGTGCTTATGAGGGGTCGATGCGCCGCCGGTGGAGCGGCGATTTTGGGGTTTGGCGACGCGGGGCATTGTGAAGTAATCCCCTGGCCGTAGAGGGGGGAAAGAACGACGGTAACTGTAGCGACTTCCTCTTTGGTGACAAGGAGAATCAGATCAATATTTGATAGGAGGGGAAAGGTAAAGGAACAATATCGCGATATCAAGTTGAGCGTGCCCCGATCACCGCCTTTCCATGTGTCGCAAAAAGGAGAGGCAGAAAGTCACTCCAAGAAGAAGCCGAAGAAAGGAACTTGGAAGACAGGGAAACAATCAACATAAACATACGGCCGCGCGGCAGCAACCACCCGCGCACTTTCTTTGAGTGATCCACAATACATTACAGGACATTACATGCACTCGGTATCCGGTACGGTACCCGGTACCGTATAGATATTCCCTGTAGGTAACGGAAAGATACCAGAGTTATTACACAGTACATGCAGTATAGTTTGGTTGTTGAGTAGTTAGAGATAAGATAAATAAGAGATAGATGGACTTGAATCTAGACATAAAATGATCTTGTGTGAAACTTTCATGCAGTTGAATCATCTTTCATAATGGGTTTTATCTCAGTCCAAGCAAGCTGTACCCACTCAATTGATCGACTAAAATGGATCATCATCGGCATCTCAGCTCCTCTTCCTTTCCCACCGCCTTCCCGATCTAGCTTGATGTGCTTGCTTGGTCTCTCCGCTCTTCTGACATCAATTCCGTCACTTTCTCCAATCCATGTCTATCTATCGTCAAGTCTTAAAGAGTTTCCTCAAGTTTCTGGCAAACGGCCCAAATCTTAATCCCATTACCTCCCCCCTTGCTTACTCTCTTATCTTGGCTTTGATTGCTTCCCATTTTCTTCTCCTGCCCTCCCTTCTCCGATTTCCATCTCCATCCCTCCTCCCTCCAGGCTTCTCAAACCTAAACTAGCCAACTAGTTCATCCGGCCTTGTGACACTCTCCACCACCGCTTGCTTATCGCCCAGGATGCCGCAATCCGATCGTCCACCATGTCTCCTCTATTGATACCCAAGTTTCTTTCTCGACGTCCCGCTTCTCGGAAGCGTGGATATTCGGCCAGACCTTTTTGGGCGTGTTTACTTGCTTTCTCCCTCCTTGCTATTCTCAGCTGGGTTTCTGGTCGCCTGGCCGAGCCAACCGAGCGGGTCTCGGTTCACAATGTCGCTCAGCTTCGGAAGCGGGACAACGCGCTGGAGGTATGACAATTGAAACACCGTCTATCGAATTGGGGATTTGCTAAGCTTGCTGTGTTGATTGACAGTGTCGTCTCGTCCGTCAAGCCAAAGATCAATGTGCCTTCGTCCTATCGAACTGCGCCGATCACGAAGAGGGTCTCTTCTCCTACCTTCAATTCTACTACTGCACTGCGGCAAAGGCCAAGCCGATCGCTTTTATCATCATCGTCCTGTGGCTATCGCTTCTCTTTAGCACCATTGGCATTGCTGCCAGCGATTTTCTCTGTGTAGATCTAAGTACCCTAGCCAGTGTCCTCGGTTTGAGTGAAAGTCTCACGGGTGTCACTTTTCTTGCATTCGGAAATGGCAGTCCGGACGTGTTCTCCACCTTCGCCGCCATGCGTTCGAATAGTGGGAGTCTGGCCATTGGAGAGCTGCTCGGTGCGGCAAGCTTCATCACATCCGTCGTTGCTGGCTCAATGGCGCTGGTCCGCCCCTTCAGGGTCGCCCGGAGGAGTTTCGTTCGTGACGTCGGATTTTTTATCCTAGCAGTGGCCTTTAGTATGTTTCTTTTGGGCGACGGCCGCCTCCATGTCTGGGAATCAGCTATGATGGTGGCGCTCTATTGTTTCTATGTTGTATTGGTGGTGACGTGGCACTGGTATTTGACTCGACAGCGTCGCTCCTACGAGAGGAATCTAGCTGCTCGGTCACACTTTCACATCCCGGACAACCAAGAACTTGACATCGAAGAAGAGGAGGAAGATGACCCTGGCATCGCGTCGGAGGCTACAAGTCTCCTTCACGGCGAAGATTTCGACGCCCTTGAGAGATCCGGTGTTCCAGCCTGGCAAGAAGGGGAGGAGGACGATGAAACCCGTAATCGGT